GGGTGAGGTGGGTATCTGCGGAGGTCGATGTGGCCATCTGCTCATGGATGCCGCCAGGTAAGTAAATGGTAGTTGGCACGTGAAGCGACTCCATGAGAATTTCGAGTAGAACCTCGCGAGGTAGTGACGGCATGGCTGGCTTGTTGACCGGGAGGAGACCTCACGTGGTCAGTTGGTGTAAGGTAAGCTGAGCCCGGCTGTGGGGAGCATCTATCAAGGCAGAAAGCTGCAGCCTTCAATGTTTGAGCGTTTAAACCAGGCAGAGCTGAGGCGTTGGCACTGCATCATGTATCAACTCTATCTGCAGGAAGACCTGAGACCATGGGAGAGAGACGGCTGAGCCGGTCGAGACGTGCCTCTGAGACGCAAGATGGGGAACAGGTGGGGACTATGAGCATTCCTTTGTCTCTCGGCAGTAAGTGTCGTCGGTCCTTTTGCTAGGAAGAGGTAATTTAGGTGAATGACCAGGAGGAGACCTCACTCGGTTGGTGAAATTGGCGCTGTAGCCGAGAGGCCCGCTGCCGTAAGTATAGCATGTCTGAACACCATCCTCCGCTCGGGCGTAAGCATTTTAAAAGCCAGAATCCAGGGGAACGACTGGACCAGGACGTCGTTCTCCAGAGGAGAGAGAATTGCAAGTAGTCTGTCCTGTGCCCTAGGATCATCTGGAAGATGAACCGAAATTGGCCCTTTTAGCTGAAGGGCAAGATGAAATTTAGCACAACTTTCTGGTACTGTAGTGTTGTGCCATAACGCCTCAAGTGAGATCAGCTCAGCGTCGGTGATGGGTCGTAACAGCCAGGTTCTGCCCAGATTAAGGTCAGCCCTCATCGTCTGGTAGGCGTTGTTGGGCAAGAGATTGTGGAGTTCCGTCAAGTGTTCAGCATAGGAGAGAAGTTCCAGGGCTTGGTCTTGGCGCAAGACATCCCAAGGTTCGCTGGGGCAAATGTCGTCTGGCATCCGTTCTCCCTTTGCCTTGGCGACCTTGGATTCCACCATGACTGTTGTCCGGTAGATCGTGGACGCTCGCTTAAGCATGTGAATTTCAGCGTCAAGAATGCCAAGAGCATGTTCGTCTCGTATGGATTGGTGTCCTCCTCGCGCGGCCATGGTGAGACATCCGAAGGGAAGAGACAGACGTGAATGCCGTTCAGGACCCTGGTAGATTTGCTAGGAAAAATCCAACGTAGATGCTGGGCCGCTCCGTTGACGATGTCCTTTACTGTTTGCCTACCCATCCCCAGGTTGTACAGGGTCTGGGAGATGATAAGGGCCGCTAGCTTGAAGTCGTCCGGCTCCATGACTTCCTCGTCAGTGTAGATGTGCACTGTTTCCAGGATCATCTGCAAGGTAAGGGAGCTGCGTTCTGCCTCATAGTGCTTCAGATGAGGAGGAGTTTCGGAGGGTGATGCAAGGGATGCCATCTCGGCCTCAGCCAGCAGTGGAAGATTCGGCTGAGCTGATTGAGAAAGAATTCGAATCCAGTTGTAGCTTCGCGCTGCCAGTCTGAGGGTGGGTGCCAGCGCACAGGTTTCCCGACGAGCAAGAGCTCTGGCTTCATCCGAAATGTAGAGGTTGGCATCAGGATCTGAAGTGCGCCTGCCTGTGTGTAGCATTGCCTTGCAGAAAAGATTCAGTGCGACGAGCTTTGACTTCATCGGCATAGTCGACGAGTCTGGCTGTAGTGGCAGCGCAGGGCATGTATGCATCATTGTGCGGGCCTTAAGGAATGGGCAGCAGGAGGAGACCTCTCTATTCTGCCTTTGAGCCTAAATGAAACTACACGTTCAGCGTCCGGTACTTGTTTGCTTGCAGCGATTAAGGAGTGCAACAGCAGCATGTGCTGCAGGGCGTAATTCTGAGAGAATAAGGGACAGGCGTCGTTGTTGGCCGACCAACCCACCTTGGCTTCCGGGAGTGCAGAGCATGAGGCATTGTTTAGTTGTGCGCTTTAAGGCGTAGTCAAAGCGTCATTATTAGAGAGAATTTTGTCACCGAGGCAGTTCTGAGGTGAACAGGTGAAAATCAGTCGTGTATACACTCCCTCGTAGGAGGAGACCTCACTCTCTGGGGAGTGCCAAAATTGAGGACTCTATACAATGTCTCATGCCTGTGGATCGCGTCGTGGGACAAGAGGACCTTCAGTGATTATCCAGGTCTGGACTGTGCCTGGTGGCAGTGGGTTGCCGGTGGCCGACAGTGCCGAGGTGCGCGCTGGAGGGGTCCACGGGCTAAACGGGTTGGGGGCCAAGGACACAATCGGCCCTGGAGTGATAATCCATGTGCCCACCAGCATGGCGGCATCATGCGCTGGCTGAGTTTGAGCTGTGGTGGAGGGAGACATCGAGGCCCCCGACGTTGAAGTGCCACTTGTCGAGCTCCGTGGACAGAGGACTCTGACCTGGGAGATCTGGCGGAGGAAAAGGCTGGTTTGTCGGAGTCGGGGGAGGGGGACCCGCTGGTTGGTAGGCCTGCTGAGTGGCTTTGGGTGCAGACTGAACCAGGTTGGCTGGCGAGGGTGCCTTTGTTGTTATGGGGGTAGGAGGAGGCGGACCTCCTGAGGCCAGCTGAGCTGAAGGGTTCTGGGAGGAGGCTGTCCGTCGCGAGGAGCTTCTGGACAGGGATTCAACCAAGTCGTCATCATCCTGGAGAGAAGAAGCCTCGGAGTTCAGGTCAGCCTCTGTGATCGGTCGCGACTCTGCATCTGCCGACTGATGCCTCTTGCCATGAGGATGTCTTCGCTTGGAGTGTTTGTCTTCCCTACGACGGGCTTCTCGAGGTTGTCGGCTGTCCTCCGGCGTCGACATAGCCTATGTGGCAATTGAACAGGAGGGAACCTCACTCGTTCGGTGCCCGCTATTGGCAGCGACTTGAGCTTTGGAAGGCTTGAACAGAGAGAAGAGAGGTAGTCTGCATGTTTCTTCAGGCATGGAGGACGGATGTCCCGATGCAGAATGACGACTTTGATAGACCTGAGCGGAGAGCTGGGATTAGGGAAGGGAACGGTTCTGTCCATAGCATGAGGGATGTTGAAGTGTTGGTTCGAGTAAAGCACATGTTTTCCTCAGAAGGCTCTCTGTGTCAGTGCCGTAAGTTTGAATCAGTGTCCGACAGGAGGAGACCTCACTCGTCGCAACAACAACAACAACAACAACAACAACAACAACAACAACAACAACAACAACAACAACAACAACAGCAACAGCAACAACAACAGCAGCAACAACAACAACAACGACAACAACAACAACAACAACAACAACAGCAACAACAACAACAACAACAACAACAACAACAACAACAACAACAACAACAACAACAACAACAACAACAACAACAACAACAACAACAAAACAACAACAACAACAACAACAACAACAACAACAACAACAACAACAACAACAACAACAACAACAACAACAACAACAACAACAACAACAACAACAACAACAACAACAACAACACCAACAGCAACAACAACAACAACAACAACAACAACAACAACAACAACAACAACAACAACAACAACAACAACAACAACAACAACAACAACAACAACCACCACAACATCCACCACAACAGCCACAAGACCGCGAGCGCGCGCAGGCAGGCGTATGCGGGGATGGCGTGTCGAGCGCCATGCTATGGAGTTATGGCAGTGTCCTTCGCAATCCTGCCGCCCTAAACCCTCGCTCCCCTTCCCCCCAGGATCCGCTGATGCTGCTGATGCTCGCCCCCCGCGTCCCCAAGGAGAAACGAGGACTCGATGATGCGCACCCCTGGATCCCGGCCGCGCATCATGAGCATCAGCGGTTCCCGGCCTCCAGGCATGCGTGGCTTATGCATGGGGGCCTCAAAACGGAAATGTCCGTAACAGCACGAAAGCACGATATTTGCAGTGTTTTCTGCGTTTTCCAAGCTCTCCGCCGCATCCCCAACCCGAGACCCAACCCGCTGATGCTCATGATGCGCGCTCTTGCGGGCGTCCTTTCGGGTGGCCGATGCCTCCAAAAAACATCAACAACGCGTCTTCGGCAAAAGTTAAAAATAGAGTCGATGATGCTCTCCGGGGTCGTTTTTAAGACCCCTCCTGGGGAAATGCGTCCAGGAGCCCAATTTCGGTGGGGAATAGCGCATTTTTCGCGATAAAAGATGTACCCAAAGCGTGATGCCCTTCGGATGCCGAATTTGGAGCCGGATGTTGGCGAGCCAACCGGGTCAGCGGCCTATGATGCGTCCCGGGTCGCTAAAGCTCTGGCTGGCGCCTAATGGCGTCGGACCACGGGCGGGCACGGCATGTGTTGGAGGTCTTGGGGGTGGGGGGGGGGGGTGGGGGGGGGTGCACAGCTGGCAGGGGGGAAGGGTAGGCCGGAAGGGTTAGGGTTGGGGGTGCGGGTGCGGGGGATGGGGGGGGTAGGGAAGGGAGCGCTGTGGGGGTGGGTTGGGCATGCGCTGGAACGCTGTAGATGAAGCAGTAAAGGCATGCTGAGAGCGGGGGCGGGGGTTGGGTTTGCACTGGAACGCAGTAGATCACTAAAGGCATGGAGTGCTAGAGGGTAAGGGAAGGGCTTAGGTGGGGGGTGGGGGGTGAGGGCGGTACTAAGAAGCAGTGGGTCTTCACTGACGCCGCCCCTGGCTGGGGTCGGCGGATATTATTATGATACTGTTTTGTTATTTGTCTCTCTCTCTCTCTCTTGTTTGCTTCGAGGGTTTAGGTGCGTGCAGGCGAAGAAGCAGCAGGACGCGTTGGATCGGCAGCTCAGGGAGGCGAGCTGTTTTTTCCAGCGAGCCTGCTCGAAGGGCTGCATGTTTTCTAAAGAGTTCCGGAAAAAACAGGTCATGTACTGGCTGCTTGCATGCCATAGGTCCTTGAAGGAGGGGTTCCGGCCAGCCAGAGAAGGGTTTTCTAGTTGCTTCCCTCACTTGCCTTCTTCCAACAGGTCTTGGACCCTAGTGAGAACGAGGACCCCTCTTTTGCGAAGATCGTTGAGGACCTTGAGATGGTCGCGCCGCTTGTACCAAAGGGCAAGAATGTGGACGAGCTGCAGCAAGGCCTGGAGGAGGCTTTATATTCTTACATTGATGCAGCCCCGAAAAAGAAAGAGGAGGACCTTGAAGGGCAGGTGGAAAAGGTGGAGCAGTTGCTATCAGCGGGAGCATGCCCCAACACCGCGGGTCCGCGCGGAGCCACGCCCCTTTCCCAACCTGCGTTCCAGGGCCGCGCGGCAGTGGTCGATGTGCTGCTCCAGAGCCGGGCTCAGGTGGGCCTTCGTGACAGCAACGGGCGCACGCCGCTGTTCCTAGCAGAGCAAGGAGGCCACTTGCAGGTGGTGCAGATGCTGCTTCAGCGCAATGCCCAGGTGGACTCCTTCGACAGCTCGGGACGCACACCCCTTCTCGATGCAGCGGAGTGGGGCACCTCAGAGATGGTTGACGCACTGCTCAGAAGCAAGGCCGGGGTGAACTTCTGCGACATGCACGGCAACTCACCCCTGTCCGCAGCAGCAGGAAAGGGTGCCTCGGAGATAGTGAGGATGCTTCTCAAGAGCAGAGCGCAGGACTCCGGCACCCAACAGGCCGCCTCCAAACGATGCCTGACAGCTTTGGACGAGGCCGCAAGACACGGCCACTCAGAGGTGGTCGACCTCCTCGTCAAGAGCAGGGCCCAGGTGGAGCCCCTAACGCTCCTCCGTGCTGCGCTCACACACCAGAAAGACCAGGTGCGCGTGGTCGACCTGCTGCTCGAGAGCAGGGCTCAGGTGGACCGCCAAACGGTGACGGCTGTTGCAAAGTACGGCTCTCCGGATGTCGCTGCCCTGCTATACCAACACCTTGAATAACCCGTGAGTCTTCTGAGTGCACGTGCGCGGAGAAAAGGCATGAGGTGCATGAGCCGAACACGGGCAGCTGCCCTCTTATCACTTGTGGTGCCCAGCTCCGCCCAATCCCCCGAGCATCCTGCCCTCCAAAGCTCTAACAGTAACATGCCCCCGACATCCTGGCCTCAGCACGTTTGGGTGATCCAACCCTCCGCGCCTTGGAGCATCAGACAATCTCTGGGACTCCTGATTCCGGAATCAAAGCACCCAGAGCCTCCGACGTTTCCTGAACTCTGCGCGCTTCACGCCCCAGTCAAGCCCATGCTCAGGCACCCAACCGGGTGCCACCAAACGGCCGGCCGCTGCCCAGTGGGGAGACGCCGTGAGAACCCTAGCGGGTTGGAGCTTTTTTGGGTTGGGTTTAGGGTTTAGGGTTTGGGGTTTAGGGCTTCCGTTTTGCAGAGAGTTCAAAAGGAGAGTTGATATAGGTGATCCCCAAAGTAACCATATGGCAGGTTGTTGGGTGCCGAGTTCCCGAAACCCTTTACTAAAACCCAGTATAACCCTAGACCCTAAGCCCTAAACCCTAAACCTCAGACCCTAAACCCTAAACCCTAAGCCCTCCTAAACCCTAAACCCTAAACCAGTGTGTTGGGTGGCTCCGGTGTCTTGGACCCCCCAATTGCTATGGCTTGCCTGCGACTTCAGAGGTACGTGAGACGAAAAGTCGTCGATCAGCAGGCTGGCTGGGAAAGGGCTTCCCTTTCCGGTCTGTTGGACGGGGTTCTTAATCGGATGGAGGTAGGAGCCTGACCGAGAGTCAGGTCTACTGCGTTCATTCGACCTGTATGTCCATGGACACACACGCCAGAACCTGCGTGCGGTTATCATATGTCCTGAAAGCAACAATGGCGAACCCGAAATCCTTAACCCACTGGTTAGTGCGCCTGCGTGCATTGCCCGGTTACTTCCAGGGTTGTTTTGGAATGTCTATGGGGGCATCCCTACACAACCCTAACATCTGGGGCTGACGAAAATAGGGGACCCCTAGAAATAGACCCCCAGATAGTAGGAGCCCCTTATCATAAGGATTTCAATAAGCTACTCCGAATTTCGGAAAACCAAACCCCCCAGTGTGCCAATCTTTACCCTAAACCCTAAACCCTAAATCCTAAACCCTAAACCCTAAACCCGAAACCCTAAACCCTAAACCCTAAACCCTAAACCCTATATAAACCCTTGAAAGCACATCATTTTTGCCCGTTCGCAGGAGAAGTATCGACGCCAGCAGGTCAAGGGTGCCAATGCGCCGGTTGCTTATGGGCTTTTGGTTTAGGGTTTAGGGTTTAGGGGGACTGCTTGAAGTCCCATGTTAATATTGCCTTCACGGGTCCCTTCCCTAGCTGTAAGGCGCCAGGCTCTGAGATCAAAACCTTAGGCCGAAGTCATGTAGTTGGTAGGAGGCTTGGGCGCCCAGAGAGGTGAAGACATCAGGGGTTCCCCAAATTAGGGTATTTTTTTGGGGTTCCTGTGGTCACACGGAGCCTTTGTATGCAGGAAGGCGCCCCCACTGTAGAGAATCCCCCACATACCCTAGACCCTGATCAAATCTTAGGCCTCAGGCCTCAGGTCGTTAAACCTTACTTAAGCTCGAGGCCTTTTTCAATTGTCAGCGTGAAGTTAACTGGAAGACAGCCGAACCTGGAGGTTTCGGCGCACCACCATCAGCACAGCTTGCAAAGTTAGGCCCATGATCAAGCTGCTTCTGTTGAGGGCTGCATAAGGCGTCTGCTTAAATCTCGTAGAGGGTCGATGAGGAAGTGTTGAGGGTCCAGTTGCTCTCAGCGTATGCAGCTGTCTCGGCCCAGCTCGACACCCCCTGCCCCCCACTCGGAAACGGAACCCGAACCCGAAACCCCGAAGGCCCCATGGGAAGACCCCCAACCCTGAACCCTGAACCCTAAACCCTAAACCCTAAACCCTAAACCCTAAACCCTAAACCCTAAACCTTAAACCCAACTTCATTCTAACCCTGAGGCTTCCACCCATCATCCAGCGCAGCAGCAGTCCAAGGCGGGCTGAAAGGTTTGGAGAACTCGTGCTTTGGGGCCTTTGGGGCTTAGGGCTTCAGGGTTTAGCGGTTTAGGGTTCAGGGTTTTAGGGTTTAGGGCATCAGGGCTTCAGGGTTTAAAGTTTTCGGGTTCCGAAGTTTAGAATTGGAGGTTTGGGCTTTGGGTTGTTTTTTTGGGGGTTAGGTCTCAGGTGCGTTAAGTTTGATGTCTGTGGCGCTCATGCCTTCATGTCAGTGAAAGGAGGTCTCCGCAGGAACGATCCCACTTCTTAACCCTAAACCCTAAACCCTAAACCCTAAACCCTAAACCCTAAACCCTAAACCCTAAACCCTAAACCCTAAAGCCCTAAAGCCCTAAACCCTAAACCCTCAACAGTGGCCTGGGTCCGCTGGAGGTCACGGCCTTCGCCAGCCGGCATCGAGGCTCAGAGACTTGGGAGTTGTTGCAAAGGTCCTTCGAAAGAAAGGGATGTAGCGTTTAGGGTTTAGGCTTTTAGGGTTTAGGGTTTAGGGTTTAGGGTTTAGGGTTTAGGGTTTGGGGTTTGGGGTTTAGGGTTTAGTAACTTAGGGCTTCGGGTTGAATCCTTACTAGACAGGGAAGAACTACCACACGGTTATTTCGTGGATAGATTTTTGAACAAGTACCATTTACTGTTAAAGCCTTAGGCTGGATATTTAAACCCTCAACAACTCGACTCGTTCTGGCTGCCAGGAAGCTCGCTTTGCACGGTCCATGGAGTGCCTCGCTCAGTCACGGTTTGGTGTTTGGGGTTTGCGGTTGGGGTCTGGGTTTTTTTGGGTTTTGGGGGTGGGCTTGGGGTTTAGGGTTTAGGGATTCAGGGTTTGGGTTACGGTTAGTTAAGGGTTCGGGGGAAGTTGATCTACATGAGCCCTTCCTCTCTCCACTGCAGTAGTCTGTCCCCGACATAGTTTAGGTCACCCAAAAGGCTCTCGTCACGCAGATCAGCTTCCATGCGCCGGGATTCAGAAGTTGGGGGGTTGAGGCTCCGGGTCTGGGGATGAGAGCTGCGGTGAAGCCTGAAAAGCCCTTAAGCCATCAACCGGCTGACCTCCAAGCCCCCAAGCCCCAAGAAAGCCGCAAGACCCCAAGAGTTGAGCATTGGGCCTGGCTCCCAGGGCCTTCCAAGCCGAAACGGAGTTTCTGGAGCAGCAGGGCCTGGACATGGGCCGCTTGGCATGCCTTTTGTTGCCTTGTTGCTTGTTGTTTTTTTTAGGTTTTAGGGTTTAGGGTTTAGGGAGGTCTTTGCATGGGTTCAGGGCCTTTGACACCTTCCGAAGCAGCAAAGGCAAGCTCACCGAATCTGCGGACACGGCCTCAGCTTGACGTGCAAGCATGCATGAAGCGAGCGTGCTGCTCTGGATTTCTGACGCAGTAGTGTCACCTAAAGCCCGTTCCTCCAAGCTTCGTCACCCTAGACCTTAAACCCGAACCCATGGTGACATACCTCTCAGGCCGAGATTGCTGAAGCAAATGCTCTTCAGGCTGCCCAGGCAGCGCAGGCGCAGGCATCGGGCCACCATGTGAAAAAGCTCTCAGCTCTATCTTCATCAACGTGATGACTTTGGGATGTTCCCCCTTATAAGTTCTTAATAGGGGTTATAGTACCCCCTATTTTAATCTCTATTGAGGACCGTTAGTATAAGGCGGAACATCCCAAGTGATAACTTTCTAGCTCATGTCAGTTCCCGAGGCTCCCAACAGATCTACAGTGTGAAATGAAGTTGCTTAGGAAGAGTGATTCCGAGTTTCTTGTCTGAAAACAGTTTTTGAGAAGATTGGAAGGGCTGAGCTCAGACGAAGCATCCGACTCTTCAATTGTAGGACCCAGAATTTAGACAGCCCTTTACGGTTTAGGGTTTAGGGTTTAGGGAACGAAGCTGCCAGAAATGTTCGGCTGGGCACGAAAGAAACGCAGGGTACAAGTTCCGACTTACCCCTAAGCCTTATCAACCGGTCCCCAAGCCCTCCATGGGCAGTCCTCTAGGTTTTGACCCCTTTGTTGGCTACCGTACATGTGAGGCTCCGCCCTGCAAATAGGAACCCCAACAAGGGACTGCAACTCCGGAAGTCCACCACGTGTTCCACATTGTTGAGGCTGGCTTCGTACCTGAAGCCATAGTGGCAGAGGCGCCTCCCCAGGCAGGTCTTCGGCTGTTTTTTTATCTAGGATTTGGGGTTGACGACTATAGGGGTAAATAGAGGCTCTAAGCATGAATGTCATTGTATGGTTCATCAGTGTAAGCACATTCTATACGTACAAGGTATATGTATATGTACATGTACATGTATATGCACATGTATACGTAGCTGTATATGTACATGTACATGTACATGTACATGTATATGTATATGTATATGTATATGCATATGTATATGTATATGTATATGTATAGGTATAGGAAATGTAAATGTATATGTATATGTATATGTGCACACACATATATATATATACAGATATGGAATAAAGCAGAGCAGGTAAGCTTTCCATGTAGATGCACAACGGGGCCATTTGCAGAAGGAGCATGCAAGCACAGACACAAAACGAAATTCTGGTAGAAGGGCAGAACCGCATCTAGACCAGCAAGTCGACGCGGAAGTGGACGAACTGGACAGTTCCGTAGGCTAACAGCAAAATAAACCGGTATCAGGGGTTTGGATTTAAGGGTGGAGTTTAAGGTTCGTCCAGGCACGTTTAGAAGGGCTTCCTTTTTGACTCTATGGCGCAGCTCATAGTAACCCCACTTCGGATCCATTTCAGGTGAATTCACAACGCTCTTTCTGCTATTGCTCGGCAATAGCTGTTTTCAGCTTGCTCACGCATGAAGCTGTGCGCACACCTGCTATTTTCTCTTCTGCTGCATTCCCAAATGGTGCACAGTAGAGCAACCAGCGCAGAAGTCTCATCATGAGTGATTCGGGTTGTTGGGCAGCTGTGTTCTCTATCACGGCATCTGCCGACATCTGCATTGGAGGTGGACGATCGACCAGCAGACACATGAGGTTCAGGAAGTGTCGAATTGATCGATGGCTCAGTCCCTTGTTGGTCCTCCTATACCCTAAACCCTAAACCCTAAACCCTCAACCCTAAACCCTAAACCCCGTTCACTACGGAGAGGCCCCGAAGATGTCTCTTTAGGGCTTGGGCCATGCACGACTCAGGGTCCGGCGCATGTCAAAGACATGCCAAGGCCATGCAGATGGCGGCTCTTGGTTTAGGGTTTAGGGTTTGGGGTTTATAGGGTTTAAGGGTTTAAGGGTTTATAGGGTTTATAGGGTTTATAGGGTTTAAGGGTTTAGGCTTAGGGTTTAGGGTTGAAAAGTTTGCCATGCGCAAGTGTGCCGAAAGGTCAGTGAGTACTCTCGATGGACGTTGCAGCCGCGTGTTTCACCACCAGACGCGGACCTCATGAGTAAGGGGCCCGTGTTTCACATGTACCTTAGGACTTAGGATGTGGCTATCTGTGGTGACCAGAATTTGTGCTACAGGCAGCCAGTTATCGAAAGCGGCGTGTTGCTTCCCCCAGGCAAGGCACACATTCCCCTGACGGGAACGGAACGGTATATGGGTCACCCTACGGGATATTCCGCATCTCTGAAGGGGCCCTGTCGCGCAGCCGCCACTCCTCAAGCCCTCCGCGAGACCCCCTGTTTTCCCTCCCTTGGCCCATGAAGCGCAAGTGTGAGGATAGCACGCAGCACGTGCAGCTCCAGGCGCTGCGCGTGAAGGCAGCTGAGCTCATCGCCACGGCCGGGGAGTCCAACGGGGAGGGTAAGGCGAAGTACAAGAAGGCGCCTTGTCTCTTGGGGTGGAAGAAGGGGCCACCTTTTTGCAGAAACCTCATGCCCCAAGACTGCAAACCCCCGAGCCCCCTACAAATCCCGAAGGTGGTGAAAGACTTCATCGATGCTGGCGGGGCCACGGATGACCTCATCGTGCGCATCGGCACCCAGTTCTTCGGGTGCCCTGCGGCCAAAACCAGCCAGGGACCGGTGGAGGACTGGCTTAGGGCCTCTAAGGCATTCTAAGGCCTAGGGGTGTTTTGGGGGACCTTGAGGTTTCCGGATTTCCGGATTTACGGTTAGGGTTTAGGGGCTTATAGGGTTCAAGTGAGGTTTGGGGCGTTTAGGGATTCGAGCCCGGCGCGCTCGTCTCCATGATGCTCGGAGGGGGGCCACTGGGCGACGCTGTTGAGGACGCCCCCTTCGAGGGATCCAGACTCCTAGACTTCGACTACCTTGAGAAGTTTATGGTGGACTGCTTTGTGGCTTCCGGGACGCCCGAGAAGGACCGGGATCTTGCGGATTCATCGCCCTAAACCCTGAACCCTAAACCCTAAACCCTAAACCCTAAACCCTAAACCCTAAACTCTAAACCCTAAACCCTAAACCCTAAACCCTAAACCCTAAACCCTAAACCTAAACCCTTAAACCCTAAACCCTAAACCCTAAACCCAAAACCCAAAACCCTAAACCCTACCCTGAGCCGTAAAACCTATAAGCCCTCAACCTCTGAACCCTCATCCCCTCAACCCCTAAACCCTCAATCCCTAAACCCTAAACCCTGAACCCTAAACCCTGAGCCCGAAACCCTCAACCCTGAACCCTAAACACGAAACCCTAAACCCTAAACCCTAAACCCTAAACCCTTCTTCAGGGTCTTGTCATAGCCCAACAGGAGTCCAAGGTCTGCGCCAACGTGCTGATCGAGGCCGACAAGAGGGGGATCGACAGCCATGGCATCGGCAGCCACTGGACTTCAGGGTGTTGGGTTAGGGTTTGGGGTTTAGGGTTTAGGGTTTAGGGGTTTAGGGTTTAGGGTTCAGGGTTTGGGGTCTTGGGGTTTAGGGTTTGGGGTTCAGGTTGGGGTTGAGGGTTTAGGATTCGGGGTTTTGGGTTTGGGGTTTGGTTTAGGGTTTAGGATTTGGGGTTTAGGGTTTAGGGTTTGGGGTTTGGGGTTTAGGGTTTGGGGTTCAGCGTTCTGGGGTTCAGGCATTCTTGATGGGCACTGTTGGGGTTTGGGGGTTCCAGTACTGCTATGAGAGTGCTAAGGACTGAAGTCCATCTACATGGACAGGATCAAGAGCGGCATATTGAAGCCCTTCGCCCCCATCGACGTGATCCGGGAGACGGAGACGACGGCCTTGATCGACGCCAACATGGGCATCGGCCTCTACGTGGGCCCCCATTGCATGGACATCGCCATCAACAAGGCGAAGAAGCTCCTCGGAGAATGAGGAGGCCTTGATTCTCTTTTTTTTGCTGCACCCTGGAGCCCGAAATAGCCCGAACTCCTGAAGAACAACTTCTGGTCCCCCCCAAACCCAAGGTACGGTCTTGGCTTTGTGGCCGTTCGGAACTCGACCCACTACGGCATCGCGGGCTACTATGCGACGATGGCCACCTCCAGGGGGTGCATCGGCTTCTGCGGGACCAACGCGCGCCCGTCCATCGCGCCCACCTTTGGGGTGGGCACCCGTTTTGCCCGTCCTCTTGTTGCTTTTCCTTGACTCCTCCATCTTTAAACCCCTAAACCTAAACCCTCAGAAGCCCCCCCCCCCCGCTTCGGGAGCCCTCCCCCCCCTATCGGCTGCAAACCCATCAGGTGGAGCCCTGCCTCGGTACCAACCCACTCTGCTTCGGCATCCCGACGGACGAGGCCTCCTGTTGCTTCTTACTGGGACATCCTTTGGGGTTTATGGAAACAGGGGACCTCAACAAAGCCCCCCAAAATAGTAGGATTCCCTCCAGACAAAGGACCCCCCCAATAAGGTACCCCGAACTTCGGAATCGGAAATTTTAATATAGGGGTCGTACTCGATACTAACAATATTTCCCTCGTTGTTCCCTGTATAATTAGGCGGTCAGATCCCCCAAAACCCCATTTCGACTTGTGAGGGCCCCTATATTACCTGGTTTTTTTTGTGGTATTATTGTCGGGACTATTGTTGGCACACTTTTGAGTGTGTCTATGATTATGTGGGTTTAGTGTTAGGGTTTAGTACTGTAGCTCCTGGAAGCCAAAGGCAAGAGGAGTGGAAATCAGAGGCTTCTGTTCAAGAGAAGTTCGGGGTCTGGGCCCCAGACTTGGGGGTGACTGTAAACTCTAAGTGTCCTAAACCCGAAACCCTAAACCCTGAACCCCAAACAAACCCTAAACCCTACACCCTAAGCCCTCAACACTCAGCCCGGAAAGCCTGATAAGCCCCTGGAGGCCTTCCCCTTCGTGATTGATTGCGCCACTTCCATCTGCCAGCGCGGCAAGCCACTTTGCGCAATCCTTTGGGAGACGTCCTTCGGAGCCTTCCGGTTTAGAAACGAAACATAACATCTTCCTACTACCTACCCAAGGAAGCCACCCAGTAAACCCAAAAGCGCCCCAAACCCTACAATCCCAAGCCCTAAGCCCTAAGCCCTAAGCCCTAAGCCCTAAGCCCTAAGCCCTAAGCCCTAAGCCCTAAGCCCTTAAGCCCTAAAGCCCTAAGCCCTAAGCCCTAAGCCCTAAGCCCTAAGCCCTAAGCCCTAAGCCCTAAGCCCGAAGCCCTAAGCCCTAAGCCCTAAGCCCCAAGCCCCAAGCCCGAAGCCCTAAGCCCTAAGCCCTAAGCCCTAAGCCCTAAGCCCTCAGCCCTCAGCCCTCAGCCCTAAACCCTAAACCCCAAACCCGAAACCCCTAAAACCCTCGGAGACTGAGGGTGGAGAAGTACGCCCGGATTGGCAGCGCCACGCCCAAGGGCATGGTCATCGACTCCACAGGGGAGGCCTTTTCGGGTTGAGTCTTTTTTTTGGAGGGGGGGGGTTAGGGTTTAGGGTTTTGGGTTTTTGGGTTTAGGGTTTAGGGTTTCGTGGGGGCTTAGGGCTGAGGGGGTGCGGGTTCAGTGCAGGGCGCAGGTTTAAGGTTTGGGTTGGGATGTTCCCCCTTGCACTTTCAGTCTGTGGGTTTGCGGGTTCAAGGCCTTCGTGGTGGCGCCAGGGAGATGGCTTGGAGACCCGAGTGAACTCTAGAATTCACTCTGTTCGTAAAAGCCCTATTCCTCTAAGACCCTTAAACCCTAAAACCTAAAACTCTAAATCTTTGACCCTTAAACCCAAAACCCCCAACCCCTACAACCCCTAAATCCCCTAAAACCCTTAAACCCCTTAAAGCCCTTAAAGCCCTTAAAACCCTTAAAACCCTTAAAGCCCTTAAAACCCTCAACGCCCTTAACACCTTTAAAGCCCTAAGCCAGGAGCGGACGGACACCGAGGGCATCCTGAAGGGCATGGTCAAGGGGGACTGTGCCCTGTGCCCGATGGGAGGCTCCTCCGTGGGCGGGTGGGGGCGGGGGCGGGGTTCGGTCTGGGCGGTGGCCGGGCTCGGGTGGTGAGTTCGGGTTTCCCACTTCCCGGGCGCAATTTGGTGACCAGGCTGTTGAGGCATTCGTTGCGAACCCGGACGGGCACAACGAACAACCCGGCCCACAACCTCCAGAAACTTGAAGGCTCATGGGTGGCTCTAAGTACCTCGCGGACAAAATGAACCCTGAAACTGGGGTCATATACTATCCCTATTACGGTATATGAACCTAAAGCCCTTTTCGGGGTTCATTTCCTCCCCAAGGTAAGGCCATCATCTCTTTTTTGGGGATACATCTTGGGATGTTCCCCTTATACGAAGAGTCCTGAATGGATTTATAGTACCCCCCCCTATGATAAGCCCTATATGAATGACTGTTAGCAGAAGGGGGGAGCATCCCAAACCCTAAGCCCTAAGCCCTAAGCCCTAAACCCTAAACCCTAAACCCCAGAATTAACCAACCACGACGATGAGGCGGGGGCGACGAGCTGGGAGGCTACAAAGGCTACTCCTGGGCCACCGTGGTAGAGCTCCTCAGCATCGCCTTTCAGGCTGTCTTGTGCCTTTCTGAATTGAAGCCATTTTTGTCCTTACAGTAGGACAAGGGATCCTAGGGTCTGGACAGGCGGCCGGACTCCACATTCTGTAGCTGTGTTTAGGGTTTCGGGCTTCAGGACTGCGGGGTTTCGGGCTTTACGAGTTTAAGGTAGCCGAAACGCGCACTCCCCAGCAACCCCCAACCCATCGCATGGGGCAGGGTGGTGACTTTGGCCGGGCACTGTCGGGTGTTGGACCTGACGGCACCTTGACCGCAGAGGGTGCACATCGCGCAGGACATCCGCGATGTGAAGGGTTAGGCTCCAGGTTGTGCTGTTGAAGTTAGGCCGTGGGATTTGGCTGGCTGGTGGGGTTCTTTGTGTGCTTGTCTTGTATGCAGCCAAAATTGACTAGAAGTTTTGCAGCAGTGCTGTTCGGCGCTGGACTTGAGATCTCTAGGCTGCGTTGTGTGAGAAATGGAGGCTCGCTATAGACATTGTGCCCTGAAGCCACACATTGCGTCAGGCTCCTACCCCAAAAGCCTCGAAGCCCGTCTCGAAGCCGTGGATGAACCATGAGCTTCGCTTCCTTACATTCTCTTGCAAGCAAGCTAGACTCCCCCCAGTTACATGAGTTGAAGCTTTCCTTTTTGTTGGTTGCTGGGAACCAGACTCTTGGTCCTCTTTGAATTGCACCTCCTTGCGGCTCAGGTAAGCCGTCGCCCATGTCCCTGGGACATTTCTTCTTGGCCATCAACGTAGAGGCGCGCTTGATTCCGACGGCAATCTTATGCGAGTCATCAACTTTGTGTTTTTCGGCAGAGACCTGTCTGGACCAATGATGCCTCGAAAATTAGCCGTGAACCAGTTGCACCGTCTATCTTTGGCACGGTGACTACGATTTTGCTCGAGCCTTGCTGCTTCCACTTTCAGTGTGCTTCCACAAAGCCATAAGTAGCACTCTTAACACCACAACAGGGTATGAGGTTAGAAAAGGCTTAGCTTGGCGGAAGTAGGTTCAGGTTCTCGTCTCAGCTACACTGAGCACCTGAGTCCTTCCAGTCCAGGCAGTCTGTGATGCCGACGCCTTCAAGAAGAAGAGTGGTGACTTCCTGAGGCTACGACCTCAAGGGCTTCGCAAGCTTCGGTGTGCAGTTTTGGCTCTCAAAGCCCCCAACGGGGCCTTAACCCTGCAGCACCAAGTTCGTGAAGCCTTCTAGCCCTAGAAGACTCCTCCCTAAACCCTAGCCCTAAACCCTAAACCCTAAACTTTCAACCCTAAACCCTCAACCCTAAACTTCTTTTCCCTCCTGTGTTTCATAAACCCCTACCAGCCCGACGCAGGTACCTCCGAGGCTCAGCGAAGGACCCAAATGGCCCCGGCCGAATATGGACGGCTGGGGAGGATCAGTACGACTACAGGACCCAACATAGCCTGAACCCAAAGTAAGCTCCCAATACCCCATAAGCCCCAAGCCCTTAAACCCCTAATCCGCTAGACACCGAATGAAACCCTAACTCCAAAGCCCGCCTAACGGGACTGGGGGATGGGCACCTGCGTGGGGCCGTTCCTTGGCTAGGGATAAAGAACCCTACGAGCACCATATATAATCCCGTAAACGCCCAAGTTAGGGTTTCGGGTTTAGGCTTGGAGGGCCCAGGTGGAAGCCCCCTCCCTCCCCCTCCCCTGTCAGGCCTGTGAGTTGTATCCTTATTTGTGTCATGACAATGGCCCTTGTAGATCCAGTTTAAGGTACCCGAAACAGGACGCAAATGTTAGGGGCAACATTGGCCTGGCGACACTCGGTGCATGAAGCCTCCTGCAACTCCGAAGGAACCAACGTACGGCCAATGGCGGCGTTATGGTCCCGCAAACCTGGCTGCAGTGTTATGAGAAGAGTGGATAGGGGTTTAGGGTTAGGGTTTTGGGTCTAGGCAGCAGCTAGGCTAGTCATGACGTCGCCAGCGTAGTGTCTGCTAGTCTGCTAGTAATGCGCGATTTTTGGCTGATGCGTTCTGTTGATCGGAACGTTGCTGGGGCAGCCAAGGCCTGCACTGTTGAAAGACATGAAGAGCCTGAGAGAATACCTACCTGGCCTTCCGGAGAAGTATCCCAAGTTTTGTTTCGAGGACTGAGCAGCAATCATGCGACCACTCGTGGCGCTGGGCAAGAGCCTCCCGGTGCGCCAGGTCGAGATTGCGCTTGAACACCTCTGGACGTAGCAAGCTAGTGCCATGGAGGCCCTTTTGCAGCACGCTGTTTGTGCCTCAGGGTTGTAGGCTTCGAGCCTTCAAGTGCTCTGCAAAAGGACCTGCATTGACCCTGGACCCCCCAAGACTCAGACCCTGACGATAGTCTAGAGATCCCCCCTCAAAAACAAGAGCTGCAGCAGAGCAGGGTGCATCTGCAAGCCGAGATGATCTGTCACCTGCTGCCTCGTGCAACGCATTTTGTTCCACCACTTTTTGTGGGGAAATTCACGGCGGCTAGCTTACATCACAGCTCTCGTTTCCTGCCGCTGTCGAGATCTGTCCATACGAGACCACAAAGCTGCAAAGCCTTTAAAACCTTTAAAGGCATCGCGTTGAGTGCTCGCAAAGCTCTCAGTGCTCTCGCACCTCACATGTAGGGTGCCTTCGCATCAGGATGTGAAGCGAGTAAGTGAGGAACTGTCGCGTAGGCTGCAGGCACTGCCTTGCAGAATGCGGCAATGCTCACTTATTTTGTTACTGCAGAGCTTCCGTGGAAAGTGACGTTCTACGGGAGTCCCAGACAGGCATCATTGCCTAACACAGGGGCCTATCTAATTAGAGTGGCTGTCTCTGTCGTTTTTTGTGTTCTTCTACCCATATTGGGAATCATACGGGGCTCATAAAGGGGATCACCTTGGCAATTATTTAGGCTCCTGTGCTCTCCAATTCGTTCCTTTGCAGAGCCTCCAGACCGCAGAGTTCCATTTCGTGGGCAGATGGGCTGATCTCCGCGCTGTTTAGTCTCTTGCTGGAACCGGAGTAGCCAGACCAGGAAAAGAATGCTGTTTTTGTTATCCTTCAACCATGTCTGTACAGAAATATATATATATATATATATTTATACATATTATATATGTATATATATATATATATATATATTTTTTTTTGTTTTTTGCTCCCCCCCCCTCAAAGATCCATCGTTTTAGGGACTTGCAATAGACAACATAGTTCCCGTGGCATGTTATATCGTCTCCCCTTACGAGACGTACAACCACCAGAAGCATCCTGAACAACAAAACCACATCAGGAAAGTATCTAAACACAACCTACCCCTTCAACTGAAAACCACCCTAAGCCCTCTCTCTCTCTATATATAGTAACCACACCACCCCTGAGACCAACGTCACCATAACACTTTCCCGGCAAAACTACCAAGTTCATGAGGTCTTATACTGCAAAATTTAGAGAAGCGAGAGGCTTCTTCAGATACAGCCGACATGTACATACGATACTGCATCAAGAGCATTGCGAATCCCGGCCATGACCACCCTCCCACTATAACCACCCCAAAAACCCTCCCTTTGGGGAATGCTGTGAGCAGATAGGATAACATTCATTTCCCCATGGCTTCGCCATATGCCTTGTGTCTCCGCTACCGCACGTCCGCATATATGCAGAAATCGTTCCAGGCCATCATGTCCCTGTATATCTCAGCAAGACCCCAAATGCGCATGAAAAGCATATTAAGCTGGCAATCTGAGCGGCAGCCGCATATAATGCGTTGCATTATGCTAGTGATGGCGGTTGCTGCCGCTTGAAATAGATTAGCATTCCTCGTTTCAATAAAAGGTAGTTTGTTTATTCTAGTTAATTAATTGATTGAGCTGAATAAACCTGAAGTGATAGTAATACAAGTAGTAGATGCTACATTTTCCTAGTATAGGTAGTCTAGTTAGTGCAGTGATGCTTGAACAACTAGCTTCCTCACTATACTTCTAATCTGTGAGGCAAGCTTGTATGAGTAGTAGACACTTCATTTTGTTTGTTCAGAATACATAGGGCCTATGCAGTACAATTAGCCCTTAAATAGATTGCCCTGCCTCCTCCTCACTACGGGCGAGTTCGTTGAAATCGAAACGCTCTGAACCCTAAACCCTAAACCCTAAACCCTGAACCCTGAACCCTAAACCCTAAACCCTAAACCCTAAAACCTAAACCAAAAATGCCTCTGGGGCACCATAGCCTGCAGCTCCATCTGAGGAGCCAGTTAGACTGCATTGTATCAAAAGCTTCGGCTCCTCCGGCCCAAAAACGACCACCGAAAAGGTCTAGGGTTTAGGGTTTAGGGTTCACAAAAAGTTCGGGCACCAGTACTCAAACCAAAGAAATTAAATACACAAAGAACAAGCATACAATCACTGGTAGTGTCCGGGACCCGAAGGACTGGTCCCGAGGTGTCATTTTTGTCTTTCCCTTTTTCGGGGGTTTGGTTGAGTACAAAGTGCCCGTTTATGTTTTCGTCTCTTGGGGTGGGGGGGCGGGGACGAGCGGGGGGTGGGGGGGGGGGGGGGGGGGGGGGGGGGGGGGGGGGGTGGTGGGGGCGGGCGGGGGGTAGGGGGGGGCGGGGGTGGGGGGGGGGGCGGGGGGGGGGGGGCGGGGGGGGGTTGGCAGCTTCTGTTTTAGGAGCGTATACATATTTATATATATATATATATGTATACATTATATATTTTGAGAGTATAATGTGTTATATGCACCCCGATAGCATGGCCAAGCTGATGTTTGCAACTGCTAGTTCTCCGTCAAAATGTCAGACAGTCGGAGACATTGTCGCGCCAATGCCGCTTGCAGTTTGGCTCTCCTTTCCATCTAAAAGTGTTTGCCAGCATGGCTATGCTACCGTCCTCGCCTAAGTGTCTTTGCGGTGGCACACTGTGGACTGACGTGTCGACGAAGCTTACACCCTAAACCAAAAACCCAAAATTCCCCTAAACACAGAACCCTAGCTCTTTGAACACAAACTTGCTTGAAGGTTGCTCCTCGCTTTGGCCTGCTCCTCAGTCTCAGTCACGTCTCTGAACTGCCCTAAACCCAGGCAGGCGCATTTCCCCTTATTCTTGGTTGAAGGGTATCTTCTTCAGAAACATGTTGCAGAGTGTGTGCAGGGGCAACCCTAAACCCTAAACCCTAAGCCCTAAGCCCTAAGCCCTAAACCCGAAACCCGAAACCCTAAACCCTGAACCCTTGTCAAAACCCTAAACCCTAAACCCTCTAAACCCTAAACCCTCTAAACCCTAGAGCCTAAACCCGCACAAGCCCTACAAAGCCGAGGTGCATGGTGCACTCCTGCGTGCTGCAGCAAGCGAGGCCTCGGCTTGGAACCGGCTTAGGGTTTAGGGTTTAGGGTTTAGGGTTTAGGGTGTAGGGTTTAGGGGGGGGTTAGGGTTAGGGTTTTTGTGTCTAGGGCACGGGGTTCTGGCCTGAACCCTGAACCCTACTCCTAAGCAACGGGCCTTACCACTGCCCCGAGCGCGGCCTCCTTCACCCCTCAAGCCCTACATCCGCAAGGCCTCTAAAAGGCCTAAGCAGCTATTCGTGGGCGCCAGCTCCCTGAACAAAAGGCACAAGATCTCGGCAGAACCTCTGAACCCGTTAAGACCTCCTGAAAAACTGCCAAAGACCCTGCAAGTCCCCTTAGAGAGATCCCAGGCCCTAAGCCACCCCAAACCCCAAAGCCCAAAGCCCAAACCCCAAAGCCCAAAGCCCAAAGCCCAAACCCCAAACTTCCGGGTGCTCTCCAGGTTGCTGGCTCTTGCCCCTCCGACACCTCGGAGGCCCTCTCAGTTTCCCAGGGTTTTTGTGTGGATCACAAGCCTTTACAAGATTTAGAGGCCCGAACGCTTAGGGTTTAGGGTTTAGGGTCATAAGCCCCTTAAGCCCTGATATCCGAAAGAAACATTGAACGGAAGTCGGTGCATGGAACCTGCCAACTGAGGGTGAAAGGGCTAGGGTTTTGAGGCAGGGATTTAGGGCTTGGGGGTAAGAGGGATGATTGTAGGTATGATTGTAGAGATGTTTGGCTTCTGGAGTGCACCCGTGCAGCCCGAAGTCCGCAGGAGCCTTCCGCGTCCTCCCTGGCGGACCTCATCGTCTCAGAGGCGCATTTCGTCTTCGGGCCCCCAAGGTCTTCTGCTGACCTGACAGGCCTTCATATTGTGAGTTCTCAAACTCATTGTCCGTTTGTCGGTACCCTAAATAAGAGGGGCCGCCTTAATACCAAAAGGGGCCGCATTTTAGAGACGCGACCATATCCACCGAAACCCAAGCCTCCTTCTTCAATGTCCTTCTTGAGGCCACCCAGTGTAGAGGTGTTGAAGGCATAGAGAGCTTGTTGACTGCTCATTCTGGGCAGGATGAGGATGAGCTGCCTTTGCATCTTCTGCAGAGACGGCAGAAGCGAAGAGTCAAGGACGCCACTCCAGGTTGTCTACCCGAAACCCTAAACACTAAACCCGAAACCCTGAGCCCAGACGGTTTGCGCATTTATAGACCAATCTGGGGCAGACTCTGGCTTTTGGATGAGCCCTGAGTTCTCTGAAAATGTTACCTCTTGCATTGAAAGAAGAAGGAAGGGTTCACACACATCTCTCATCCGTAGCACAGGGCCCCTCCACCCCACAACCTTAGGCACATGGTCAGATCTTTTAATTCTGGTCATACGGCCCCGAAAGGGATCGTAATACAGCGCGCCGACCGTAGGTCTTCGTGACTGGCGCATGATAAGCGGTGGCTTCCTCGTAGCGTTCTCTCCTGGGGTTTCCTGAGCCAAACAGAGCCCCTCGAGCCCTCAATCGGCGCTTGCAAGATGCAGGAGTACCGCGAGGCAATGAAAGCCAGTGCCGGCGAGGAGTCTGGCAGACATCAGCACACGACTTTCCGTGTGTGCTGACTTTTTAGAGATCGTGGCTGCTAGATTGCTAGGTGCTAGAACGAAGGGGTTGCTGCTGGTACTTCTCCTAAACCCTAGAAGACCCCTAAACCCTAAACCCTAAACCCTAAACCCTAAACCCTAAACCCTAAACCCTAAACCCTAAACCCTAAACCCTAAACCCTAAACCCTAAACCCTAAACCCTAAACCCTAAACCCTAAACCCTAAACCCTAAACCCTAAATAAACCCTAAACCCTAAACCCCCAACCTTTGCTAGATGAGAGCTTGTCGCGGTCACTGCGGCTTCAGGAGGCGTCGTCCAAAGCCAGGTGGCCCCCGCCACCGTTCGACTTCGAGGACTTGCCGGGGTTAATACATAGGGGCCTTAAGGGTTTAGGGTTTAGGGTTTAGGGGCCTTAACAATTAGAATAGGGTTTTGGGGATTATTATGGTACATGTATAAAGGGACCATAAGGGAATACTATTAGTAATTATTCCGACCCTCTATATATATATATGTATATATATATATATATGTTTCCTTGTTTGCTTGGGAGTGTGGCGCTTGGATTTGGGTCTCAGACTTTGCATCGGGGTTGGTTTTGCCTCTGTCTGTTAATCTCATTGTCAGTATCTCCGTATATTCTTCCGGTGAATCGAAGATCATGTGCGGTACGTCCGAATTCCTGGCGGCGTAGACTCAGCACATTCAGGACTCCGGCACCAAATACAGCGACCCGGCATGACTCTGGGGGTGACAGATACGTTGCCTTTGCCTGCGAATCTTCCGTTTAGATTTTAGGGTTCAGGGTTCTGGCAAGCTTATGCTCCTACCTCCTACCTCCCTCCTCCCCCCCCCCCTCCCCGCCCCAACACCAGGGGTTCCAATCTTGCACGACTGCGCTTGCGCGAGCCAGCGGTTGGGTGTTCTTGATCCGCGCGCCCGGCTCACCATGGACCCATGGTGTGCTGCGCTTGGGACCCTGCTGGTGCTGATGATGTTTCGTGCGTCGCTGTCGTCTTCTGTTGGCAGAATTCCACGCACGTGCTAAGGTGACATCGCATCTTTCGGCATTCTGGTCCTAGCTATTGTACATCCTTGTTATCATGTCCTGACAAGCCTGACGTGGTGACAGTCCCCAAATAAAGGTCCCATCTTGTCCTCTCTTCAACTCATGGTTCATCTAAGGGACCTTGATTTATGACAACTTTACATGGCCTAGGTGCTTTCATTGAGGACAACGAGGAGAGCCGGCCACCGCCCCTAACACCGACCCACAGCCGCAGTAGTTAGGGTTTCGGGTTTCGGGCTTACGGTTACAAAACCCCAAAGCCCAAAAGCTCCGAAGCCTCAACCGCTGAGCATGACGTTGAGAGTGGTTGTAGCTACGGGGCTCTCGCGCCAACGCGGAGGCTCAACTTCTTACAACAAGAGCTTGCAATCAGGGTTTAGGGTTTCGGGCTCAGCATCTTTCAGTTGAGGTGGTGTCAGCCCCGTCCTCGAAGCCCACATCCGTAATCAGCATCAATCGCAAATGCTAAGCGCCCAACCTAATTAAACTAACCCCTAAACCCTAAACCCTAATCCTCACCCCAAAACCCCACAACCCCAAACCCCAAACACCCCAAAACCCGAAACCCCAAACCCCAAACCCTCACGCCCCTAACCCGAAAAAAGAACCCGACGCCCCCACAAATCGAATAGCGGCCTTAATGCTCTCAGAATATCTCAGAGTAGGGTTTTGGGGGTGTTTTTTGAGTCTATTTATGAAGGAACCATAAGGGAATACTATGAGCCTATATGACTCAGAATGGGGTCTTGGGGGGTTTTTCGAGTATATCTACAAAGGAACCATAAGGGAATACGATGAGGCTATATTACTTAGAATAGGGTCTTGGGGGGTTTTTAGAGTCTATTTCTACAGGAACCATAAGGGAATACTCAGAATAGGGTCCGTAACTGAATACTGTGAGCCTCTAGCTAGAGTATCTTTTTACAGGAGCCAGAAGGGAATACTAGGGGCCTATATTTGGAGTATCTTTACTAAAGGCACCATAAGGGAAGACTAATGAGCCCTAAACCCTAAACCCTAAACCCTAAACCCTAAAACCTAAACCCTAAACCCTAAACCCTAAACCCTAAACCCTAAACCCTATATTCGAATGGCTCGAGGATGGTGGTGCGGTCATCGCCCAAAAGGAGGCGATCACTGGACCTCCACTTCAACGCGGCCGCTGGGGCAGAAACGGGGCCTTTAGGGTCTAGGGTTTAGGGTTTAGGGTTGCGGTTTTAGGGTTTCGGGTTTAGGGTTTCGGGTTCAGGGTTTAGGGTTTAGCGGAGCAAGCACGAAATCCCCTAAATCTCGCCCACGCAATCGCCCAGCTGCTGTCAGCCACGCCCTAAGCCTCAACCCCAAAGCCCCAAATCTAAGCCCGGAATCTTAAACCGCAAAATTTAAGCCCTGACCCGAAACGCCGTGAAACCCCAAACCCTGCACCCTGAACTCTGAGCCAGAAGTCTGAAGTTAACGCCCGAGAACTCAAGTCTTGCACCCAAGCTCCTGCTGCCTCAGGTCATGGCAAGCTGCGGGTCCAGACTCAGCGACCCTAGTCGCTGTACCAAGGCCCGGGCTAGACCTCCGGGCTTTGAAGTCGGGGTTGCTTTGGAGTTTGCCGTCAAGCTACCCTCCCAAAACCTCTCCGTGCTTTACAGGTGCCTGGGATACACCTAGAACCGATACCACCCACCCCCCCCCACCCCCACTCCCAACAAGCAACAACAAACAAACAAGCGCTGGCGAGGCAGTGGAGCAGTCTTCAAAGAAAGTCTTCGTCCAGCTGCATTTCGAGGTTGCCCAAGAGCTGGGCTTAACTCATGTAATATGTATGCACACATATATATATATATATGCAATATATGTCTATAAATACATAAGTATATATTTACATTTATACACTATCATAGATGTGTGCGTATACACATGCGCATTCAGGACCTTTCGGGTGTTCGGCTCTTCAGGCCGGTAGGCGAGCTTCGGGTGCCCTTTAGCCTTCAACCCCCCGGCGAGATTCGTCCCTGCACCCTGCAACCAGTAGAGAACTGCGGGCTTTGGGCTCAGGGCCTTGTGTGTAAGGGGTAGATTCAGGGACCATGTAACTGCCCTTAGAATGCTTTGTGGGCTTTGTGAGCTTTGCGCGACCTTTCCGAGGGGTGCTCCCGCAGGCGAGAACTGATGAGACCGTCCCCCCGCTGACGAACAAGGACCTGACACCCTTTGGCCCTCTGAACCCCTAAAGCTTTTTTGACCCCATGAGCATCCTGAACCCTAAGATTTTCTATCATCCATGGACCCTAAACCCAGGAGCCCCCTTGCAAGCCTCTGGAGTCCAGAGAAGCTTAAATTTGTCACAGGCGCTTACATAATAACCAATAGTGTCCCCTCACCGCCCTCCTGATTTACACATCCTAGAACCGAAACCCTAAACTCTAAACCCTTAGACCCGAAACCCTGAAGACCTATCTTAGCAGGGAATTAGGTGTAATTAGGCATCCCTGACATCGTGCGATGTAAGGTACCAAGCAGAAAGACCCTAAACTTTAGGCCCTAAACCCTAAACCCGAAACTCTAAACCCTATACCCTAAACCCAAACCAGTAGAAAGACTCGGGTTTACGGCTCGCAACTGGCGAGGAGGCGAAAAGCTTCGAAGACCGATTTCAGGACCAGTCCTCATCCAGGGCCCATGGTTTGTTCATGTAGGGCCTAGGGCCTAGGGTTGAGGGCTTATCGGGTTTAGGGCTTAAGCGGGCTTTAGGGTTCAAGGTACTAAGTCTGCGGACCGTTGAGTTAGAACCCGCAAGCCCCCTAGCCCCCAAGCCTCCAAGCCCCCAAAACCCCCAAAACACCCCATCAACCCTGCCCTTAAAACCCCTAAACCTGAAACCCCCAGACCCCTAAGCCCTAACCTCTAAACCCTAAACCCCAAACCCCCAAGCCCCAAACCCTAAAACCCCTACACCCCCTTCAAGCCCTTAAAGGCGCCCCAAGCCCCTCCCCCGCCTAAACCCTAAACCCTAAACCCTAAACCCTAAACCCTAAACCCTAAACCCTAAACCCTAAACCCTAAACCCTAAACCCTGAACCCTGAACCCTAAACCCTAAACCTTAAACCCTAAACCCTACTAAACCCTACTAAACCCTACTAAACCCTACTAAACCCTACTAAACCCTACTAAACCCTACTAAACCCTACTAAACCCTACTAAACCCTACTAAACCCTAAACCCTACTAAACCCTAAACCCTAAACCCTAAACCCTAAACCCTAAACCCTAAACCCTAAACCCTAAACCCTAAACCCTAAACCCTAAACCCTAAACCCTCAACCCTAAACCCTAAACCCTAAACCCTAAACCCCCAAAGAAGGCGCGTCTTGCGCGGTTCAGGAGCTCGTCCTCGGGGACTCGAAGCGAACCCCTTGCCTTGACTTGGCACAGCCGGGGTTCGGCTCCCTAAGGTTTAGGGTTTAGGGTTTAGGGTTTAGGGTTTAGGGTTTAGGGTTTAGGGTTTAGGGTTTAGGGTTTAGGGTTTAGGGTTTAGGGTTTGTGAAGTTTGGGGTTTGGGGTTTAGAGGTTCAAAGTTTGGGGTTTCGGGTTTGGAGTTTAGGGTTTGGGGTTTAGGGTTTCGGGTTTACGGGTTTTGGGTTTAGGCTTTAGGGTTAGGGTTTGGGGTTTGGGTTTTAGCGGTTTAGGGTTTGGGGGTTGAAGGGTGCAGGGGTTCGGAGGTTCGAAGTTTGGGTTTGGGGTTTAGGGTTTGGGGTTTAGGGCTTAGAGTTTGGGGTTGGGGGTTTGAGGTTTAGGGTACCTCAACAAAGGATCATGGTTGAGATAAATCCCCCTAGGGCTCAGGGTTGAACGGGACGCTTCAGGGGTGTTCTCTTTGTGTACGGGTTCCAGAAGGGTGGTGGTTTGAGGGTTATCTCCGGTCTTCTGTGCTTTGGCGGATTCTATTGCCCTGCAAGCCCTAAACCCTAAACCCTAAACCCTAAACCCTAAACCCTAAACCCTAAAACCCCAAACCCTAAACCCTACGCCCTAAACAGCCGAAACCCTCAACAATCCAAGGAGTGATGTTAAAGAGCACCAAGTCTGAGCAGTACGCCGGCTGGAAGTCTTTGGTGCAGCCGCCCAGCTCCCAAGTTCAGAGAGCCAAGGTCTGCTCTTTCTCTAGACGACCACCCTCAAACATAGGGGTTTAGGGTTTAGGTTTAGGGTTAGGGTTTAGGGTTCAGGGTTCAGGGTTTAGGGTTTAGGGTTTAGGGTTTAGAGCATAACACGGGGCACGCCCAAATGCACACCAATCTAGAGAACGGACCAGATGTGCAATTAAAGTTTGCAAAGCCAAAACTTGTCGCCTGCTCCCATCCTGCCAGATCATGATACAGCCTAGGAATGTCTTTTACAATTACGGTGGCCAGTTTCCTCACACCCCTTGTGCAGTCCTTGGACCGTATGTATCCGTTACTTCCGCCTTGTGTACATTGCCTTTCCAAAAAAGCTTCCCTCTCAGACTCCCGAGATGATCCTGAATACAGGGGAGATGCCAGGGGGCCCTGAGCGTCCCAGCTCTGTGAGGTTTGGGGTTTCGGGTTTAGGGTTTGGGGTTTTGGGTTTAGGGCTTAGGGTCTAGGGTTTGGGGTCTAGGGTTTCGGGTTTATGGTTTCGGGTTTGGGGTTTCGGGTTTCGGGCTTCGGGTGGGATTCTATCCGCTGTGCGTGCCTGTCCTTAACCGGAGGAATGGCTACATGGCCATGAGACCGGTGGTTCCTGTGGCCCTGACGAATGAGATCAACAAGCTGAATGAGACTGGAGACTCTCGGCGGAGGTTCTGCTAATCTTGGACACCCAAACCAAGAAACGACTGAAGAATCGCACTGGAGCTGACCCTGTGTCCTTTGGGATGTTCCCCCTTATACTAACAGTCCTTAATCGGGATTATATTCGGGGGATCCCTGCCAAGGATGTGCTCCCCCCCAAGCCCAAGGGCACTCTGAACCTGTTCCTTCGTTCGCCCGGCCTAGGCATCCAGCTGGACTGCAACGTATGACGCGTCCTTCATCAAGGCTCCTGCAGGGTGGGGCTTGGACTTCGGGGGTGGATGGGATCAGGCCTTGTATGCTTAGAACCTTAGCAGCTTTGGGCCGGGAGGTTCAGGACTTTGAGAGGGTTGGGTTTCGGGATTACAGCGCGGCGCATGGGTTTCGGCAGGGTTCGATGTGTGTGTGTGTGTGTTTATTAACACGAGCCGTCGAGCTGCCACATGACTGTGAGCCCAAGGGTCAGTTTTTCGATTGCTGTTTTTTGGAAAGTGTATACATGTGGCCGAATATTGGTGGATGTACAGATTGAGTGTCCTCTTTTTGGGATGCCAGCAATAACAACCCTGCATCATAGATCCCGAAGCTCCAGGTGTCTGTGGCCAAGGGCAAAAGCAAGTGGCCCGGATGTGATATGACTCGGGAGGAAGCGCCGCAGCCCTAAGTTGTAACCCCCAAATCGGGAGGGGGTCGCCCGGGTGAAGGGTTGTTTAGGGCCAGGTCACACAGGCGTCGGAAGAACTACTAATTGTACTCCCTTCTGGTCCCTATATGAGATGAAAGCCTAAACCCTAAACCCTAAACCCGAAACCCGAAACCCGAAACCCGAAACCCGAAACCCTAAACCCTAAACCCTAAACCCTAAACCCTAAACCCTAAACCCTAAACCCTAAACCCTAAACCCTAAACCCTAAACCGTAAACCCTAAACCCTAAACCCTAAACCCTAAACCCAAACCCCATATGAGATTCTAATTCTTGCGGGTTGCATGGTATCTGAGCTCTCCTCCATCCAAGGCTTGGCTTCACGATGTCCAAAGAGGCGCGGGGACCCTAAACCCCACAAACCCCCATGAACTCTATAAATAAACCCTGTATTCCCTATGGAAAGCCTGGACGCCCGAGAAACCCTACGAACCCTACGAACCCTAAGCCCAAAACCTGAACCCGCTAGTGTCCTTGAGCCTTCGTAGGGCCCGGGTACGGGGATGCGAAGCGCAGAAACTCCAGAGTTGATGGTTGAGTTACTGGTGAGGTGCCCTCCAAAAAGGTTCTAGTACAAGCAACCGCAGGAAGAGGAGCAGATGAAGAATGACACTTTGAGCATGTTGCTGCCTGGCGTCCACAGGTTTCACGGAAAGGTTTGTGGGGGTAGGCTCCTACCTTTGCAAGTCGAGATGGTTGGCAAGATTGCCCGACAGGACTCTGCTTGGAAGATCTTTCGAGTAAGTAGGCCTCTAAGTATGGCTGTGCGGTTGCATGTCTCAGCAAGCTAGAGCTCCGAAGCCCAGCAGCCCAAAACGCCCGACGAATCCGTTCTGACTGCAGCCCCCAACCCTCATCCCTAACCTCTAAACCCTAACGTCGAAACCCTAAACCCTAAACCCTCAACCCCACCCCCGAATCCCTCCCAAGGCAGGAAGACCTGAAGCAGTTCAGCGAGGAGGAGCTTAGCAAGAGTGTGCCTTGCTCCAGCATAAGACTTTCGTCAGCCACGTAGATAATCTAGTTGTCGGGCAATTTACTAATGATATTCCCTTATGGTCCCGATGATTTTCCTATAACAACCCCCAAAACCCTAGGCTAGTTACCCTTATGGTCCCGATGATTTTCCTGTAACAACCCCCAAAATTCTAGGCTAGAGAGGTCCTTTGGCCAGGAGGTCCATGGGCGTCCAGACAGGGTCCAAAGAGGAGCCATCGAAGGCTCAGGCGGTCCTCCAATCACCCCAAAAAATGGGCATCGGTTCATAGGCTTTCGGCGATGACCAATATATTCCCCTCATACAGGACAGAATTCTATTCGATGCTGGTATAACGAAATGAGTCTGACTGAGTCTGGCTGGATGCAGGTAGTTTTGGGCCTACATTGTAAGTCCCCATGCCAATCCTGAATTTGTTGCCTGCGTCACCCGCCGTTGTGTTGATGAGTGGGCTGCCATGTCAGCACCAGAGATTCACAAAACTCTGCCTGGCCCAAGAAGCGTTTCTGGGCTGCGTAGAACATGACTCAGTGCACACAGTGCAACGCCTGCGGCTTCCTCAGCTGCCGAAACAGCAGCACATGGTTCCTCCCATCTAGAGAAACGGTGAAACATGCTTCTGCTGCCAAAAACTGATCTGATGAGCCCGGAAATCTCCTTCAGGAATTTCGTCTCGGTTCTTGTCAGCAGCACCAGCCTCAAGACCAAAATTGAACATATCCTTGAGAAACTACAGTGACTCAAGTCACGATGGCAAGCGCCATGACAAACTGCAAGTATTTGGGTCAGTGGCTTCATTCACTGAGTGTACAAAGCGCTTTTGTTTCACTTTCGATCCTAATAAAAATTGTGGATTGCCAGAGTTCAGGTTAGGGGTGTAAGGTTGCGGAGTGTGGCCGGCTACAATCTGCAACATTGGTTAAGGTATGCCTAGCCCTTCTTCTTTGAATTACCCAATGAAGCTTCAAGTAAAGTTCCATGCCGCGTGATTTAGATTTGGTCCAGCACCAGCCGGCAGAACACAAGAAGCCATCTCAACGACTGTCTTGCAAGGACTTCAGGCTTTGCGCTGTCCAGCCAGAAGAAAAGCACCCCCTTGTATAGTCAGACTAGATGGTAGAGAATTTCTGAGCAGCCTCCAGCTCCCGGGGGTCTTTATGCCGTTCCGGGAGGCAAGCCCTTTGCACCACCACCAAGGCCTATTCCCAGTACTTCGATGTGAGGGAAAACTGGCCCGAGTGCAAGCCCGTCACGACGCACGTGCGCTACCAGACGTGCCACTGGGCTTCGACCGGCCTTACTAGCTCATCTTCTGAGTTCTCACAGCAACGAGCCCCCCCCCCCCCCCCCCCACCAAAGGTGGCATTTAAACCCTAAACCCTAAACCCTAAAACCCTAAACCCTAAACCCGAAACCCTAAACCTTTCTTCATGCGGCCCTCTATTCCTCGACCCTGCTAAGAAAGCAGGTAAAATGAAGCCAAGGTCTTCGGCAGCCATCCCCGAAATCCTTTCCCTAAGCTGATCGGCTTCAGGGTTGCCTCGGGGTTCAGGAGCATCGGCTTCGGGGCTTTAGGGCTTTGAGTGTGTTTAGTATTTTCGGCTGCTTGTTTAGGGCTTTCTTGGTGTTTGTCTGGTTTTTTGTGGCTTTCAGACATTTTTTTTTTTCTCTCTCTCTCTCTCTCTCTGAGTTTATGGGCTTTTAGGATGCTTCAGGCTTCTTAGGGGCCCTAAACCCTAAACCCTAAACCCTAAACCCTAAACCCTAAACCCTAAACCCTAAACCCTAAACCCTAACCCCTAAACCCTAAACCCTAGACCCTAAACCCTAAACCCTAAACCCTAACCCCTAAACCCTCAACCCTCAACCCTCAACCCTCAACCCTAAACCCTAAACCCTAAACCCTAAACCCTAAACCCTAAACCCTAAACCCTAAACCCCCTGCAGGCAACAACTGCTGGAGTCACAGCACCGCCTTGATCACGGAGAGCCGGCTCTGCATCCAGACGCACGGACGGCGGCCTGGCGGAAGGGCCGGGGAGGGTTTAGGGTTTAGGGTTTAGGGTTTAGGGTTTAGGGTTTAGGGTTTAGGGTTTAGGGTTTAGGGTTTAGGGTTTAGGGTTTAGGGTTTAGGGTCGAAGCGCTGCAAGGGCCCAGGGCCCGTAGGGCCCCTAAGCCCGGAAGCTTGAAACCTAAAGCTTCAAGCCATGAAATCCCCCTAAACCCTTAAGAACCCTAAGAACCCTTAAACCCCAGAGAAGCCATTAAAAAAACACAAGAAGGCGTTGGCACCTGTCAGGCCAAGGTCTCGCAAGCCCCTCTATTTCTCCTCACCTGTGGAAATTGAGCCTGAATTTCCTCCCCTCAACCTTCAACTTTCAACCCGCAACCTCACACCACAAAGCCCTAACCCCTAAGCCCTTGAACCGTAAACCCTAAACCAACCGTAAACCCTAAACCCCTCAAACCCTAAACTTTAAACCCAACCCCCAAACCCTCAACTCCCCAAACCGAACCCTCTCCCCCCCGCCCCCGCCCCCGCCCCCGCCCTAAGCAACCCCCCCCCCCCCTCCAAGCACCCCCCCCTCCTGCCCCCGCACCCCCCGTGAGGTTCAACGGGCCCCAGGCCTGGTTGAGCCAGTCCTTCATCGCAGCGTGCAGGACCTGTCTGCGGGGGCTTGGGGCATTGTTTTGGTTTCAAGAGTTTATATATATATATATGTATATATATATATATATATTTTTTTCTTTGTTTTTTTCTAAACGTTTTTTTTTTTTTTTTTGGGGGGGGGGGGGGGGGTTCCGGTTTTTCTGGGTTTCAGGGTTCGGCTTTGGAAGGATTTAGGGTTTGAGGGTTTCAGGGTTGAGGGTTCAGGGGTTTTGGGGTTGGGAGAAGGAGGTTTGAGGGGTTACACTAGTTGAGGGTTGAGAGGGTTCAGGTTGCAAGGTTTAGGGTTTACGGTGACCGTGGGGGACGGGGGTCGAGAACGTGGAGCACGGACGCTTGTATACTCCCTTCTGTGAGAAAACCCGGTTTAAACGATAGAACCCGCAAGACACCCCCGGTTCGAGATAACAACCTGGCCCGTAGACCCTAACCCTAAACCTTACAAGCTGAACCCCCAAATTTTCTGAACCACCTAAACCCCCTAAACCCTACACCCTAAACCCTAAACCCTGCACAGCAGCCTAAGCCTCATAAACTCCCTTAGCCCCGATAAGGACTGACGGCCACGACTACTGCAACGGCGGTAGCGGCCTCCTTGGCTTTCGGACAGTGTCCCGGAGCCTCGGGTCGCTTCAGATCGTTGTTTTGGGGTTTCAGGTGTTTTGGGGTTTAAGCCCTAAACCCTAAACCCGAAGCCCTAAGCCTCAAAGGGATCTCGGGTTTTCGAGGTTTAAGGCTTTGGGTGTAGGGTTTAGGATCCAGGGATTTGGAGTTTGGGGGTCGCTTGGGGTTCATGAAGTTTTTTGGGGTGTGTGCTGAACCCTAGAGCCCTAAACCCTAAACCAGCCTAAATCCTAAACCCCTAAACCCCTAAACCCCTAAACCCCTAAACCCCTAAACCCCTAACCCCCTAAACCCCTAAACCCCCTAAACCCCTAAACCCCTAAACCCCCTAAACCCCTAAACCCCCGAAACCACAAGCCCACAAGCTGCTGAGGTGGGGAGTTCCCACTGGTGGCCCAGACTACCGCGGAAACATCCAGGCGTCCGCGGCTTCCGGGGGATTCAGTTGAGACCCTTAGGCTTGAAGGGTGTAATTTCAGGGTGTAGGGCTAATATGATGTTAGGGGTTCAGGGCTTGCGGTTCGGGTCTAAAAGCCCTAAACCCAAAACCCTAAACCCTAAACCCTAACCCCTAGACCCTAAACCCTAAACCCTAAACCCTAGGCCCTAAACCCGAAACCCGGTTTAGGAGGCAGGGGGGTGGCCCATTGGGGTTCGAGTGCAAGAGGCGCTGGGTTGTGGGAGCTTCGGATGGTCGCGCCTTGGGGTTCCAGGCCACTTTCCTGGGTTGCCCGAGTGACCCTTGGGACATTGCACATTTTGCCCTTATGGAGTTTCAGAGGATCATAGTCAGGAATATTTTTCAGAGGGTTTGCCTGGGCCATCCTAGTTAAGGCTATGTAGGGAGAATTCAGCCGAGGCGATGTAATGGGGGGAACCTAGGGGGGGGAGGGGGGGGGGTGGTATGGAGGGGTGTAGTAGGGGAAGCCATGACACTTGGGTGTCTTCAGTTTTCCCTGGCCTTGGGTCTCAGGCACCTTTAGAGCTCGGAGTTGGGGTTTAGGGTTTAGGGTTTAGGGTTTAGGGTTTAGGGTTTAGGGTTGAGGGTTTAGGGTTTAGGGTTTAGGGTTTAGGGTTTAGGGTTTAGGCTTTAGGGTTTAGGGAATAGGGATTAGGGTTTAGGGGTCTCCGTCGGGCCAAGGCTCCCTACTTAGAACTACAGCGATAGTTCCCGGTGAGGGTGCCCTGGATTTCTCAAAGTAGAGGAGCACGTTTTTTTTCTCAGAAAGATCCCTCACACCTTGAGGGCACTTCGAATTTCATAACAAACTCCTGCCGTGGGGCCCGAAGCAAGCCGAAGCTAAGAGAATGAGCCCCCGCCCCCCCCACCTAGACCTGCTCAAACCCTCCAAACAGTCCCAATTGAGATGTTCCCCCTTCTACTAACAGTCCTATTAAAATCCTCATTAAGGACTGCAAGTATAGGGGGGAACATCCCAAAGTCCCAATGTTTTTCCAAAATTCAGTTACCCTCCCGCAGCCTTCCAATTCCAGGAGGCGCACCCATCACCAAATGAGACAATCCAACCCAAAAGGAAACTAAAAAAATGAGGGGCTCGGTTTCCAAAATTTAAGATATCCGCCCCTCATTTTCTTACGTTCCTATTGGGCCTGACAGTCACTCCGGAAATTCGCCCAAACGGATTCGAGCACGAGCTGAATGTACTGCACCCTGAATATCTTAACTCCCTATGCCCAAGAGGCGCCCCCAAAACAATAGGCTTCGGCCTCAAATCTGAGGGTCTGGATTTCTTATGTTAGTCCCTAAGCCCTAAACCCAAATCCTAAATCCTAAACCCTAAACCCTAAACTCTAAATCTCAAACCCGCTTTTGAGTGTCCGCTCTTGGCCGAGCCCCTCATCAGCCAATGTTTTCTGATTCGGTTCTGTCACCGTACGCGTGAACGTTCAACGTAGCTGTTAAAGTCCAAACGCTGACCCCACAACACACCAAACCCCAAATCCAAAGTCGCAGAACCCAACGCCCAGCTTGGGATTCAGGAATTATTCTACTGCTGCTGCTGCTGCTGCTGCTGCTGCTGCTGCTGCTGATGCTGCTGTTGCTCCCCGCCCCTACCCCGCCCCTACCCCCCCCGCACCCCCCCCCCCCCCCCTACCCCCCCCCCACCCCCCCCCCCCACCCCCCCCCCCCCGTTACCCCCCCCCCCCTACCCCCCCCTTCCCCCCCTACCCCCCCTACCCCCCCTACCCCCCCTACCCCCCCCCCCCCCCCTCCCCCCCTAACCCCCCCCCCACCCCCCCCCCCCCCCCCCCCTACCCCTAACCTCTGTGACCACGGAATGTAATCCCTTAAGAACCCATTCGAAGACTCGCCAATATTATATCTTTGTTCATTGGCCCGTAGACGATTATTGCGGCCCTAAAGAGTCAATGGGCCGAGAATGGAATGAATACAGTGTTCCTTTCACACTCATAACTTTACTTCGTTCATGCCTGGGCGATTTTCGTGCGTCCTAACAGTCCTTACAAAATACGCCCAGTTCATTCTCTTCGTGGTGATGTTGTTAACTTCACTGTTGATGAAAGGGTCTTAGAACTGGGGCTCATTGTCCACATTCTGTGTTTGCTAGCGAGCACACCTTGGGGGCCTCGGCGAGAGTTTGAGCTCCAATAGCGTCTTTTTGACAGCGGCCATATGTAGGTAAATTGTTAATTGTACACGTATCTGTACCTGTGTGTATATATATATATGTATTATGTTTTCTTTCACGTTTCAGTTACTATTGGGATTCTTATGAGTAGAACGTTGATTCTTTGGGTCGATAACCGACCACCATGTCTGCTGCCCTTGATTGCTGGTCACTTGCTCTTCCAGGCGGGCGTGCAGACCTGCTACCCGCAAGTGCTGCCGCACGATACGCAAGTCCACTGCCCTGGGGCCTGCTCACCCTACACCAGGTGCGCTCTGAAGCCTGCATTGAGATCTTGTGACTCTTGAACAGCAACATGTACATGTATACGAAATGTGTACAGCTGCACTACTTGTAGCCCCCAGTTCTGACAGAGGGGTGTAAGAGTTTGAGGCAGAGCATGGGTGGGAGATTTCTTGGAGGTATCCGCGGAAACTGGATCAGGATCTTTTCTACGCTGGTGCCCCAGTGATGCATGTCTCAGGATTCCACTCGAATCTTCATGGGTAGTCGCAAGTAGTGGAAGTCAGTATGGTCTGCTAGAACGCAATCAAGGGCCGCCATGGGCGCCTGGGCTGAAGACCAACTTTTGACTGTCGGTATCATGCTTAGAGCCGTCTTCATGAGGCCAGAGTAACTACCATGCGCCCCCACCCGCCAAGCTGTGTGCTAAGAAGTCGCTGCCCTGGTCGTACAGGAACGCAGTAGTTGGTTGTAGTCACCCTCATCCTCATGATCTTCATGACCGTTCGATCAACATCGTCTCCGTCTTCGCGATGATGATGATAATGAGGAGGAGGAGGAGGAGGATGATGATGATGATGATTCCTGCTTCTCCGTGCACCTGGCTCTTTTCATGGTGAGTCTCGACACGTCACAACAGCCAAACCCCTAGTCACAGACTGTTAACATTCAATCCTCCGCGAACCCTATGGCTTGTTCTGAACTGCTCAGCTAGGGCCACTAGCAGCTAGATACGATCCCAAGGCAGTCGCGTCCAGGCGAAACGGTTTGTGTGCAAAGGCAGCGCTTGTCTGACGCCTTTCATGGCAGAGCCTTCCCCAGACAACCTGCGTATTTTCAACACAGAGGGTGCTGTGAAGTACCGCGTGCCTGCGAACGCGGCTGCGGACATCCGAAGCTTGAAGCAACATCTGGCACGCCTTTGTGGGGTCCCGCGGTTTCGGCTGCGGCTACTCCCAGTGGGGAGCGGGCGGGAGTTGCAGGATGGCGACATGCTTGAGTCGGCTGAGTTTCAGCTGGTGATGTTGCCGTTTGCCGAGCAGCTGCAGGAGCCACAGGAGCTGGAGCTTGGTGATGCTATTGAATCCGGCGACATTGAGAAAGTTGAGCAGCTCCTGCAACTGCCCCGAAACCCCGATGACATCCTCCGCAGCGATGACATCTTCAAAAGCCGCCGAACGACGCCAGTGTTTTTGGCATGTTGGTTTGGCCATGAGGAGATCGTGCGCTTGTTGCTGGAGGAGGCTGGGGCGTCTTGTCTGCTGCCGCGCCATGGCCATGACGGCTATGAAGCAGGGGGAGACATCGTGGTTTGCACACCTCTGGGTGCCGCGTGTGCACGGGGCCATGTAACCATTGTTGAGGTGCTATTGCGAGCAGGTGCCCCGCTGGACTCAACTTGCGGTGATATACGTTACTACGACGGCAATGAGCATCTGTGGCCCTTCGACATGGCGATGGAGTGCCAGCAACAGGAAGTGGCGCGGTTCCTGCAGGAAGAGCACCGCCGTCGAGGAGCTCACGGCCCGCTAGGATGCAAGCATGAGCTGCCCTGAAATCCAGAACCTCGGCCGGGAAAAGATCGTGAGCTCTTGCAGCTTCTCATAGTGTCCCGGGCTGACATGGCACGAAACTCCCATTCGTTCACAAGCCCGAAGCGCCGGAGCTTGAAATCCGAGCCTTCAGCTAAGTATCTTAGAGTTTGGCATTATGAGGTTGGGGTAGTTGCACGCAACCTCCCTCATCATCTGCCCTAAATTTTGCAAACTCAGCTAAGAATCTCTGGACCCCAAAATCTCTGGACCCCAACGCCCAGATTCCTTCAATTGTCCGTACCTCCAGCGTTAAGCCCTAAATCCTACTCCCGAAACCCTCATACCGGGTTAAGGGTTTAGGGTTTAGGGTTGAGGGTTCAAGGTTTAAGGTCTAGGGTTTAGACTCGACTCCTACCCTGACAGGTGATGGCTCATCCGTAGATCGCTGGAAAGTTCGACTTAAAGTTCCCCTCCCCATGAAGTTGCTTCCAATCCAGGGAAAACCAAGTTCCAGCTTCAATCCCAAACCCTAAATCCTAAACCCTAAACCCTAATCCCCAAACCCTAAACCCTAAACCCTAAACCCTAAACCCTAAGCCCTAAACCCTAAACCCTAAACCCTGAACCCTGAATCCTGAACCCGGAACCCTGAACCCTGAACCCTAAACCCGAAACCCTATAGCTCAGCTCCTTGACCCGCACACCTAGGCCCCTCAAACCCTGAACACCCACGAAACCCTCAAGGACCTAAAGCCCTAAACATCCTTAAACCCTCGAAAGTGCCCTGAAGCCAAATCCTAAATCCCTTTAACCCTTTAACCACCTCGCCCCGCACTCCCCCGAACTAACTAACTAACTAACTAACTTACTTACTTAACTAACTAACTAACTAAATATCTGACTGACAGACTGACTGGCTAACTAACAAACTACAAAACAACAACCACCCTCAACCCCTAAACCCCTAAAACCTCAAACCTCAACCCGAAACCCAAAACCCAAAACCCTAAACCCTAAACCCTAACCCTAAACCTTAAACCTAAACCCTAAAACCTAATCCCTAAACCCTAAACCCTAAACCCTAAACCCTAAACCCTAAACCCTAAACCCTAAACCCTAAACCCTAAACCCTAAACCCTAAATCCTAAAGCAACCATCCCGGGCCTCAGGTCCAGTACGAGCCGAGGGCGCTCCATCCCGTGGGTTCACAGGTTCCCTACCTGGTGAAGAAGGCGCCCTTACCCCTTGCTCATTAGCATTCTTCCCCTAAACCCTAGGGTTTAGGGTTTAGGGTTTAGGGTTTAGGGTTTAGGGTTTAGGGTTTAGGGTTTAGGGTTTAGGGTATATATACATATATATATATAGATATATGTACATGTTTGTTTTTTTGGTTTATGGTGGGTGTCAAAAAACAAGGCGCGTTTTTTTGTCTTTTCAGCTTTTTCTCCGCGGCTTACTCGGATTGGGAGGGTTCTGGCTCCCACTGGCTAGGTACCTAAACCCTAAACCCTAAACCCTAAACCCTAAACCCTAAACCCTAAACCCTAAACCCTAAACCCTAAACCCTAAACTCCAAACCCTACACCCTAAACTGCAAACCCCAAAACCCCAAAACCCCAAAACCCCAAAACCCCAAAACCCCAAAACCCCAAAACCCCAAAACCCCAAAACCCCAAAACCCCAAACCCCAAACCCCAGCGATTGCAGCTTTAGGGCGTCCTTGTGCCCTCTTTGCCCCCCCCAAGCGACCCACCCTCCGAGTTGAGACATGTTCGATGCAGGCGCTGATGACTGAAGGCCCGATTTTGCTGGGCATGCGCATCTACCAGGACGAATGAGGGTTCAGGGTTTCGGGACGAGGGCTCAGGGATTCGGGTTTGGGGATTGGGGCTTTGGGTCTAGGGTTTAGGGATTGGGGCTCAGGGCTTCGGGTTTTCGGGTTTGGTGAACCCTGGCCCCTGAGCCAGCTGCTCTGGTGCAAACTCAGCAGACCTAAATCTCTCCGAGCAGCGGGGGCTTCATGTGCAGAAGTGGGCACTGTGAGATTCTCTCCGGCCAGATTGGCCCAGGCTCTGAGCCCAACAGTTCTGAGCTTCTGGACAAAAACCGGTCGAGAAGTTCCCCGAAGTCCCCCTAAAGACTTCCTAGAACGTAGAACCCCTCCTCTCCCAATGTTTTGAGATCCCTCCCTGTTACCGAAGATGAGATTTTGGCGACTGTTTGGTGGAACCACTGACAATCGGAGGTGGGTTTTAAGGCTCAGTGCTGAAAGTTCCTCTTAAAATCTCGAGAAGCTTCCAGGAGCTCCTCCCTCTTCAAAACCCCAAGCCCAAAACCCCTCCACAAGCCCTACTTTGGAAGCCCTTTTTTGACTTAGTACCGTAGGGTTTAGTAAGGTGGGCTATGGGGATTTTATGTGGGCTTCTATGGGATACTAAGTAGACTTACTAAGTCAAAAGAGCTTCCAAGCAACCATCCCTGAGCCCGCGGCTTTGTGGAATTCAAGCAGGACTTCTACGCGTACCAGTCCGGTACCGGGCTCGGCTCTGAAGAGCAATATCTACACATGGGATCGAAATGTCATGTAGGCAGTTCTCCAAGCTACGGTCTGTCGTTGGGGTACCGCCAAATGTACGGCTAAGCCAAATGCGCCCTACCCACGGGCTGTTGACGTCCATGAAAGCAACAGCTCGCACACCGCTGGCCGGGTGTGGGGCAAGCCGCTTGGGATGAGTGAGGTCCTGGCTACACAGGGCCTTCATCCAGGGTCCTTTGGGGCCAACGTGCTGTGGGCCGCAGCGCATGACAGTGGGGCGATGGGCTAACGCGTCCACTGGAGGACTCTCACGGTACATGTCGGGAGCTTGAAAGTTTCGGCTTACCCGTTCCTCTGTACTGGCGGGCGGAGTCAGCAGGGAAGGCCAGGCAGGCAATGACTTCGTGTCGGGTGCACCACTGGGTGTTTGCAGGGCATTTGCACATGGCATCATGCTGCACCGGTAATCTTATGTTTTGTTTTGTCTTTGCCAGGTATGCGTTGTGAAGCATGGCAGCATGATGATGGAGTCAGTGGCTTCGTTGCCGCGAGTTGCTGGAGTTGGGAAAGAATGTGCAACCAAGTGAGTAGAACTTGTGGAGAAGTCATGTTGGTCATCACCAACCACATTCCCCGCTCTACCCACGGGCTGTTGACGTCCATGAAAGCAACAGCTCGCACACCGCCAGCCGGGTGTGGGGCAAGCCGCTTGGGATGAGTGAGGTCCTGGCTAAACAGGGCCTTCATCCAGGGTCCTTTGGGGCCAACGTGCTGTGGGCCGCAGCGCATGACAGTGGGGCGATGGGCTAACGCGTCCACTGGAGGACTCTCACGGTACATGTCGGGAGCTTGAAAGTTTCGGCTTACCCGTTCCTCTGTACTGGCGGGCGGAGTCAGCAGGGAAGGCCAGGCAAGCAATGACTTCGTGTCGGGTGCACCACTGGGTGTTTGCAGGGCATTTGCACATGGCATCATGCTGCACCGGTAATCTTATGTTTTGTTTTGTCTTTGCCAAGTATGCGTTGTGAAGCATGGCAGCATGATGGTGGGGTTTTGGAGTCAGTGGCTTCGTTGCCACGAGTTGCTGGATTTGGGAAAGAATGCGCAACCACTTGTCTAGATCTTGTGGAGTAGTCTGTTTGTCATCACCAACCACATTCCCCGCTCTACCCACGGGCTGTTGACGTCCATGAAAGCAACAGCTCGCACACCGCCGGCCGGGTGTGGGGCAAGCCGCTTGGGATGAATGAGGTCCTGGCTAAACAGGGCCTTCATCCAGGGTCCTTTGGGGCCAACGTGCTGTGGGCCGCAGCGCATGACAGTGGGGCGATGGGCTAACGCGTCCACTGGAGGACTCTCACGGTACATGTCGGGAGCTTGAAAGTTTCGGCTTACCCGTTCCTCTGTACTGGCGGGCGGAGTCAGCAGGGAAGGCCAGGCAAGCAATGACTTCGTGTCGGGTGCACCACTGGGTGTTTGCAGGGCATTCGCAGCAATCATATGTCTTGTTTTGTCTTTGCCAAGTATGCGTTGTGAAGCACGGCAGCATGATGGTGGGTTTTGGAGTTAGTGGCTTTGTTGCGAGTTGCTGGAGTTGGGAAAGAATGTGCAACCAAGTGAGCAGAACTTGTGGATTCATGCTGGTCATCACCAATCCATGAAGGCAACAGCTCGCACACCGCTGGCCGGGTGTGGGGCAAGCTGCTTGGGATGAGTGAGGTCCTGGCTAAACAGGGCCTTCATCCAGGGTCCTTTGGGGCCAACGTGCTGTGGGCTGCAGCGCATGACAGTGGGGCGATGGGCTAACGCGTCCACTGGAGGACTCTCACGGTACAAGTCGGGGCGCTTGAAAGTTTCGGCTTACCCGTTCCTCTGTACTGGCGGGCGGAGTCAGCAGGGAAGGCCAGGCAAGCAATGACTTCGTGTCGGGTGCACCACTGGGTGTTGCAGGGCATTCGCAGCAATCTTATGTCTTGTTTTGTCTTTGCCAAGTATGCGTTGTGAAGCATGGCAGCATGATGGTGGGGTTTTGGAGTCAGTGGCTTTGTTGCCACGAGTGGCTGGAGTTGGGAAAGAATGCGCAACCACTTGTCTAGAACTTGTGGAGTAGTCTGTTTGTCATCACCAACCACATTCCCCGCCCTACCCACGGGCTGTTGACGTCCATGAAAGCAACAGCTCGCACACCGCCGGCCGGGTGTGGGGCAAGCCGCTCGGGATGAGTGAGGTTCGGGCTAAACCGGGCCTTTATCCAGGGTCCTTTGGGGCCAACGTGCTGTGGGCTGCAGCGCATGACAGTGGGGCGATGGGCTAACGCGTCCACTGGAGGACACTCACGGTACATGACGGGAGCTTGAAAGTTTCGGCTTACCCGTTCCTCTGTACTGGCGGGCGGAGTCAGCAGGGAAGGCCAGGCAAGCAATGACTTCGTGTCGGGTGCACCACTGGGTGTTTGCAGGGCATTCGCAGCAATCTTATGTCTTGTTTTGTCTTTGCCAAGTATGCGTTGTGAAGCATGGCTGCATGATGGTGGGGTTTTGGAGTCAGTGGCTTTATTGCCGCGAGTTGCTGGAGTTGGGAAAGAATGCGCAGCCACTTGTCTAGAACTTGTGGAGTAGTCTGTTTGTCATCACCAACCACATTCCCCGCCCTACCCACGGGCTGTTGACGTCCATGAAAGCAACAGCTCGCACACCGCCGGCCGGGTGTGGGGCAAGCCGCTCGGGTGAGGTTCGGGCTAAACCGGGCCTTTATCCAGGGTCCTTTGAGGCCAACGTGCTGTGGGCTGCAGCGCATGACAGTGGGGCGATGGGCTAACGCGTCCACTGGAGGACACTCACGGTACATGACGGGAGCTTGAAAGTTTCGGCTTACCCGTTCCTCTGTACTGGCGGGCGGAGTCAGCAGGGAAGGCCAGGCAAGCAATGACTTCGTGTCGGGTGCACCACTGGGTGTTTGCAGGGCATTCGGCATTCGTCTTATGTTTTGTTTTGTTTTTGCCAAGTACGCGTTGTGAAGCATGCTGGTGAGGTTTTGCGGCCAGTTGCTTCATGCCCAGCCCCTCCAGCTTACAAGCACAAGCCCTCCAGGCATCTACCGGCCCGTCAAGAAGTCCTGGAACCTCTACATGGGAGGACATGCCGTCACAGGCACGAGGGCACGTCTAAGATGGGCTCCAAGGCCTGAGCACCAAGGTATGCTTTTTGCTCTTATTGGGTATTTCCCAAAAGGAGGGGTACCCCTTTTCTACCCCTAAATAGGGTAGAATAGAATCCCCTTGAAGGGGCCCCCGAAAAGGCACCCCCCCCCTCATTGGGACGACAATCAGTTTGGAAGCCAGGAGGGTTGAGTTGCTCTTGAGAAGCACGCACGCGAACAGGGCTGCGAAGTGTCGTAAAGCACCCATGAGCCTGGAACCTTCCACTCCCCATCATTAACCCCATAACCCTCAGGCCGAAGCCCAAAACTCTGACTCGAACCATTAGCATGCATCTGCGCCCGCCAACACTGGGTGCACGGGCCGAGATCTGCCCCGGCTTAAGGGCCGACGGGCACGGCCAGATAAGAACAAATTGGGTGCCTGATGGCTCTCACTCGTGAGGCTGATTGGAATTCGGCACGGCCTCAAAACATGCCAGCGTGCACTTTCTCTCATGCGATACGGCAAGTGCCCTTGATCTCGATATCAGCATGCCCACCCACTTCTTCGTATCGGCACCCGAATGATTGAGCCCTCAATCCGCGAGAGCGCGCCCCCCCCTCCCCAAACCCCCCAAGCCACGAAAGCTCCCTCAAAGGGCCACCCTCCCCTTGCCGAAAGGCACGGTTTGTTTCCTGAAGGCATGGGCTTCGGCCCCGGCTACATCCTGGCCATCAACTCTTGGAGCGAGTCCTGGGGGATCAGGGGCGCTTTCCATGCGCCCTGGGCTGCCCAGGGAGGCCGTTTGCGGAGGGTTTTTTCTATTCTACGTTGTTTTTTTGGAGTTTTGTAATCTTGGATTGTTTTTTTGTAGGGGTTTTAGAGTTTTTGAGTTAGCTATCGAATCCTGTACACTGTCAGACGCAAGCAGAAAGTTTATAGTTGTAAGAATATTGGAAATGAATGTAATAAAGACCTTATTCGTCAGGAAGTATTACTATTAGTGTGTTTCGTTCGCGCATTTAGAGAGTTCACGCACTCCTCCACTTCTTTCTTTCGTTTGTAGCTTGATAAATTCGTTCACACTTCGCTCATACAATTCATTGATAGCTATTGGTGGCTGTGCATGTTTTGCTGATGGCTGTTGAGGCTTCCGCGGGTGGGTGGGGTGTAGGGCTTGGGGAGGACCCTAAACCCAATTAAACCCTAAAAACCCTCAACCCCCCAAACCCTACATTGAGGCTCTTCGGTGCGGTTCTCCACATGTCCTCCCATTACAAAGGGCCTCTTCTTGGCTTGGGGATGTGGAGGGGATTTAATCTGCGTTGACTCTTCGCAGCTCTCTTGTGTTCTGATGTTGACGCTTCTCTAAGTTGTTACCACCCTAAACCCTAAACCTCCCTAAGCCCCAAGCCCTAAGCCCTAAACCCTAAACCCGAAAGCCCCCGAAGCCAAGGTGGCCCCCGACGCCATCGATTTTGGATACTTCCTCCCTGGGCGCCCTTTGGGCGCCTTGGGCGGGAGCCCATACCCAATGCCCTTGCCCAGAAGTAGATGAGAGGGTTTCTGCATGAAAGCAGGGTTTCGTGTTTGGGTTTTAGGAAGTTCAGGGGTTTGGGGTTTAGGGTTTAGGGTTTATGATGACGTGCGGTGGTCGCTTTTGTTTGGGGTCTATAGGGGGGGGTTGTGTGGAGACGTGGAATTCCGCTCGCATCACCGTGTCACCCGTGTGGCCAGTCGAGTCAGCGGCTCCGGTAGATTTCAACGGACTAGCTTTAGTCGGACGTCGATCAGCTTTCAAAGTGACAATATCAGGGCCTTGCACGCACTCAGACATGTTTTTGCCGCATGCCATTCGATGCGCCCCTATGTGAAGTGAGTAGTCGCCATTGTTTCGTGTCACGTTGCCACGGATGACCGACTGGCCCACCCGGCTCAAGCCACCCAGCTGCACTTGCTGCTTGTCCCGTTGTCTTCCAACTCTATTCCGGCTCGTCGCACTCATGTGGGCATTCCTGCCGGTGCTTCTGTTCACCCTGTGCTCTGCTGCCCGAGATGGCAGCGCACGTGCGTCTGCTCAGCCTGAGCTTCAGGACATGGCTGACGTGTCTGCGCACGTGGAGTCCTCGGCGAGGTCGAAGTTGGCAAAGCCAGCCGGCACTCCAGAAAAAGTAATGTCGCATGGCTTCAGAGATGAAGACACTCACTGGATGGCCTCAGTGATTTCCGATTGTTACGACGAGCACTCAGAGGAGGATCTGGACGGGTGGGCGCTCTGCATCTCCATGCTTTGCAAGCGCAAGTTCGGCGGATTTCACCACCAAGTGATCCTGGGCACGAGCGGGATGCTCGGATCCGCCACTTTTGCCGAGAACGAGGCCACCTTCACGTGGGGCGACTTCTTCCTGAGCATCTTCAAGGCGAAGGTCTGAGGCCCAGCCCCAACGCGGGTTGGATGCGAGAATGTCCCAGCAGCTCTCAGAGAGAAGAGCAAGATTTCGGCTGAAGCCTTCCTGAGCCATAGGCAAAAAGCAGTGCCTCGTACCTGGCGTAGCAGGCAGGGGGTGAACTTGCTCTTCCAGCCTGCATGACCGCATGTTTCCTTCCGCCGCCGTTTGGGACTGTGCTGTTCAGCGTATCAACGCCAATGGGAGGAGGCCAGGGACGGAGCACTCAGCCCCTGTTGCCCACTTGATGCCGACTGCTTCATGACAATGTGTGTGGAATACTTTACACGTGACGACCCGGCCGTGACGCTGGAACTTCACGCTTCACACAAAAACATGTTTACACATATGTATATGTGTGTGTATATTACATATCCAACAGCACACATGTATCCTTATGTTCCCCTCCCTGAACCCTAAACCCTAAACCCTAAACCCTAAACCCTAAACCCTAAACCCTATACCCCAAAAAAGAAAACGTTGCATTCTGGGAGGTCGAGGTGGGACCCATGAGCTCAGCCGAGCAGAAGTTCCAGGTGGGGGGGGGTTCTCGCTTAGGGCCTCCTTCCTCATGGAGTGTAGGCTTTAGGCTATAGGGCTTAGGGCTTAGGGTTTGGGGTTTAGGGTCTAGGGTTTAGGGATTAGGGTTTCGGTAGGGGAACTTCGAGAATCGAGCCTCCTTGGGAAAAGGATCCCAAAGGGTGTTCTCCAATGCAGCCCTCATGTAGAACAACCAGCCGCTGGAACACAGCCGAAGGCCTTCGGGTTCTTGGGCTGAAGATGGAGTACTCGAGTTGTGGCCTGGAGAGCCTGTCGTCTCAGATGGGCCACATTGCGGTGTGATCCCAAGCCCCTGAATCCTAGACCCTAAACCCTCAACCCTCAACCCCAAACCCTAAACCCTAAACCCTAAACCCTCAACCCTCAACCCTAAACCCTAATCCCTAAACCTGAACCCTCAGCCTGAAGCCCAAACATTGAACCCCCAACCCCAACACGGGAGGTCAATGACCTGGTTTATGTGCCGAATCCCGAGGGCCGAGAGGCCCGGGGCCTTTGTGCGGACGGGAGGTTGGAGGGTTTAGCGCAGCACAGGGAGGAGGGTGCAAAGGCATCTAAACGCCCAACCTCCAAGAACTGCCTGAACACCATACATGCTCTAAAGGCACAGCAACCCTAGCTTCCTAAACCCGAAACCCTAAACCCTAAAACCCCAGAACCCTGAAACCCCGTGGAGTGCCGAGGATCCGTTCCTGGGGGGGGTGGTCGTCGGACACTCTGGTTGTGAAGTGGCCGGGTGCCCGGCAAAGGATCAGGATTTAGGGTTTGGGGTTCAGGGTGAAAGCTTAGGATGTAGGTTTTAGGGTGTCCGTGCTTTCTTGAAGGGTAGAGCCCAGCACGTTCGAACTAGTTCGTGAAGGTTGGTGTGTCCATGTCACCCTCTACCACCTCGAGAAACTCCAAACTGTAAACCCGAATCCATGCCAGCAAGACAACCCTGCTATGGCACAGTGATTGTAGCAGTATTGCGCGGAGCGTCCTGACCTTAACATCATACTCATGTTTTGTTGTTTGAGCGGCATTGGCTCCGACGTGAGAAGGAACGGTGCTCAGGCATGGAAAGCAATGTCAGGACTGCCACGCATTGTTTAATTCTCGCTTCAGATGAATATGAAGCCGGCGGGCGGCTGACCCACTGCGTTGCAGATGCCACATCCTTCAAAGAGGCGCTGCTAAATGTCGGGCTTTTAGACTCTGCGGAGAAATGTGCTTTTCTAGAGAACTTTACTTGAAAGGACGTGTTCAGGGCTGCGGACACCATTCTCGCCAGCCAAGAACCTCGGTGCATCCTGTTCTACGCTGCTTGCCATGGTTTTGATGAGGAAGGGCGTCTTGTAATCCAGCCCTCAGACTCCGAGCGGTCCGCAGACGATTTTCCGCTTGAATACCTGCTCAGCAGGTTAACCGAGCATGACGTTTTCATTGGGCTGTTTGCCACATGTCGAGAAGTTCGTCCGAAAGCCATCCGGCCGAGTTCGACTGCAAGACACTACAGGACACAACATCTTCGCAGACGTAACGACAACAGGGGAGGGGCCCAACAATTGCTCTTCTACGCTTGCCACCACGATTCTGCCATTAGCGACAGGAACCTTTTAACAAAAGCTCTCATCAATTGCCTCCAGGAACAAGTTTCTGACGTTGTAAATTTGGGGGACTTCACTAGTGCAGTAACTGCCGCGGTGAAAGGACACCTAGAGCCAGTTGTTGAGATGACTGTGGGGAGACCCGTTTTGATCCGGCTGCACAGCACTGCTTCACGTGATTTCATAAAGCACGCAGTGCCCAAAGGTGCTCACATAGCAGTGCTGCGAAGGCGCAGGTGTACCCGCTTCTTTCATCATGGGATCTATGTTGGGCAAGATTGCGTGATCGAGCTCGTGGCAACTTCCGATGTTCTGGCTGCTGACGCCGCAAGCGCCTGCGAAGAGTTTACAGGCAGTCGTGTGACCGTTAACACCAGCGCATGCGGCGAGGTCGATCTCTATTGCAAGCTTCCAGATGACGGCGAGGCAAGTTCGCGATGGCGTGCCCCGTTCAGGTGCAAACGGACTCGCCTGACTGCGGTCGTGCGGACAACATCTATAACTGCATTCTGCCTGTCATCGTCAATATGGGTGCTTTGCGAGCCGACTGACCAGAACATGCTGGACTCTGTTCTCCGGCGTGCCAAAGATCTACTGAGCAAAGAGCAATTCAACTATTCGTTGTTCACTCGCAATTGCGAGCACTTTGCCCCACGGGTGTCTACACTTCAAGCGCCCAAACGCTGACAAATTCACAGGGTCTACCCCTTCTCATTGTAGGGTGTCAGTGTCTTTCAGTATGGTCTGCCCTGGTGGGCGTTTTTTCCATTATTTTGGGTTGTGCTTGTGGCATCATGGATTGCCGTCTTTTGGGGTTGCTACAGGCAGCGCATCGCAAGTCCATTAAGCAAGTATGCATCAACTCCTTGCGCTGGTGCGGCTACTGGCCGCCTCAATGAGGAGCCAGCAGTCGACACTTTCCAATCTGCAGCAGAACGCTCCCGCAGCACACGCTGGTGTGCATGTTTCCCTCTCCTACTTCTCAATATTGTGCTTTCGGCTGGCTGTGCTGGGATTGTTCATTATGCAACCGCCGCATGTTTCCACTTCAGCACGCTGGCAGTTGTGGTGGCTGTTATTGTTCATGCTGTGGTGGCGGGGGCTGGTATTGTTTGCGCAATGACATTCTTTTATAGGCAGCTGGAAGACAGCAGTGGCCGGGACGAGCTTGACTATGCGATTGGTGCAATTGTATTGTGGTATCATGCCTTCCGGGTAGAATGCGGCTTCAAAGTCTTGCTGCCTGAGCGTTTGGGTCCTTACTGTGTGAAAACAAATCCGTCGCGTAGGCGTTGTATTAGGCACGTGGTGTCAAACTCTCGGTTTTCCGAGCGCGTGCGCGGGTATAGTATGATAACCGCACTCGCCCTACTGTTATAGCTACCCCATGAACCTCGAATCTACTCAACCCTCCCTCATCCCTTGCCGCTCGAGCAAGCCTCGACTCTCAATCCCCAGGCCTTCAAGGATCCCCCTCAAGGGCACAAATAATTCAGAATCCTTAGCATTTACCACATATATTCCGAAAAGGGACATGATCAACCACCCAGAACATCCCATTCTATCCAAATAGACCCTAGAATCCCTAGAACCTAAGCCCTACAACCGCAATCCCTACAACCCACATCCCTAAACTGTAAACCGCCCAAAACAGGCAGTGTTGACCTGCCGCGGCTCGCTGAAATGTCCGGCCGGGGCGCTGCGTCGGCGGTTCGAGTCAGAGGGATGCACGGCGCCCAGGGTTTAGGGCTTAGGGGTTGTGGGTTTAGGCTTTAGGGTCTGGTGTTTTAGGGTTTGACGGATTGTGGGCTTAGAGTTTTAAGGTTTAGATTTGCAGGGGTGAGGGGCTTTGGTTCAAGCCCAGCATAGACTCCAGAAGCGCTGCTTGCGCTAGCAGCAACTTGGGATGCGAGGCGACGGAGTTGAAGCCTGCAGCCTTCCATGAACTGATGGTTCGAAACAAGTCGAGACCCTGAACCCTGTGTCAGGCGCCCCTAATCTTTACGACGCCAGTGCGTGAGGCAATGACAACACCTCCCTGGTTTTTCTCAACGATGCCTCCATCTTGGAAAACCTCCGAGTGCGACACGAGGCGCGCAGCTCTGTCGAAAGCGCCAACCGAAGCTTTGTGTTGCCTTCCGCAGGTGGACGACATCTACACATACACAGCGAGCGCAGCGCGCCAAGATGCGCCAAGCAAAGCTCTTCACGGTTCTTCGGTAAGTTGCACTCGTATCAGCATCCGGCAGCCTCTAAGCCCTGAACTCTAAACCCTTAACCCTTAACCCTAAACCCATCGTTTTCCCAGGTTCTCTTGGCTGTGAACCCTTACCACGACATCGATGGGCCAGGGCCTTGAGCCCGCTTGCCCACATCGATCAAAGCAGCTGTCATCTCTAACAGACATTGAAGTAGAACAGAATATCTAAAGAATACAAGTAAATAGAATATAAATTTAAACATGGGAGCCTCCGAAAATGTATATGTATATGTATACGTATATGTATAGGTATAGGTATAGGTATAAGTATATGTATATGTACATGTATATGTATATGTGCACTTGAAGATGTACGTTATCCAGTATATGGGGGCATACTTGCCATCAGGTGACCCCCGCCCCTTTCCCCCCCCTTCCCCCCACCTTCAAAGACAAGTTGAGCTCCGCCGCTTCTCTTTGCGTCGTGTCGTCAACGCGTGCAAGCAGAAGACGCGCCCCTAAAACCTCAAGCCTAAAACCCCAAACCCTAAAACCCCAAACCTTCATCTCATGTCCTGCACCCTCAACCTACACCCGAAACCCTAGAATGCCTCGAAGGCTGAACGCCCAAAACAGCAGGACACCCTGACAGGCGGCCCAAGACCTAAGGTCGTGTTTGTTTTATTTGGTCCATGGTTTGAGATTCAGAGTGCAAGGCCACAAAATCTTCCCCTGGACCCTTAGCCGTAACCCCAACTCTTCCCGAATTTTGGGCTTCCCCGACTCCTCAAGGCTCTATGGTGAGGAGCAGTGCGCGCGTCGCTGGACGGAAGGGATCCCTCTTGGGATTCTTAAGCGTGAAGAGGGGATCCTTGGGTTTGAGGCGGAGATTTAGTTGATCCAAAATCCAAGCCTTCGTTCACAGGTTCGTGCGCCCTTCAGTTTCTACCGAGTACTGTCTAGGTTTGTCATTGCCCTCTGGCGGTTGGCACGATAGCTCATGCGCAGAACCTTCATTTGGGATGGAAAATGCCAATGCCAATGCCTGCAGCCACAACCACGACGTTGCAAACTGTGTTGATGAATGGCAAGACCTACCTCATCCTCAACCCGCAGCCCTAAACCCCTAGCCCCAGAACCCTAAGCCTCAAGACCTACATCCAGGCTTTAGACTCCAACCCTAAACCCTACACCTTACACCCGAAACCCTAAACTCTAAACCCTAAACCTTAAACCCTGAAGCCCAGGTTTTAGGATTTAGGGTCGCTCGAGCAAAGCCACTGACTCCAAAAAACCTCACCATCATGCTGCCATGCTTCACAACGCATACTTGGCAAAGACAAAACAAGACATAAGATTACTGCGAATGCCCGACACGAAGTCATTGCTTGCCTGGCCTTCCCTGCTCACTCCGCCCGCCAGTACAGAGGAACGGGTAAGCCGAAACTTTCAAGCTCCCCCAAGGCTATCGTGGGAAGCACATAGGCGCACTGCCACCGCATCTTGGCTGATGCCTGGGATTCGAGGTCTTGGGATGTTTCTGGGTTTAGGGTTTAGGGTTTAGGGTTTAGGGTTTGTTGAGGTTGGGACATAGTCAGCAGTTTATCAGTATCGTTATCATTATCATTCGTCACGTTTTCAAGGAGGGGTAATGGGGGCGCGGAGGAGGCTCACCACCTGGGACGCTTCGGGTCTGGCATGCGCCGGTTTCCTTTCTCCGACGAATCTGCGCTTCCTGGGCCAAGCACAAGTCCAGAATGTTTCGTGCAGGTAGGGCCTCAGGGCTTTACGAGCAGGGTTGCGAAGGCCTGGACTTCACGAAAAAGACCTCGCTTATCTCTCAGACGTTGTTGAAACTGTAGGCCTAAGACCCTAAACCGTCAACCCAAAGGCCTGAACCCCAAACCCAAAACCCAAACCCTAAACCCCAAACAACAGAAATCCTTGACTACAGGCATCCCTACGCCATCGCAGACACCGCGTATAGAGCCCTGGCGCCTTGATCGAGCCATTGGGACTGGGGAGGTGCGTCCATAAGCAAGGCTGTCAACGGGGGAAGCCCATTGTCGTATCGCAGAGTCGCAGCTTGCAGACGTACTTGTAAGGAGGTGCTCTGTTTCAGGTGCCACGCCCATGCATTCGACCTTACAGGCCTCTAGCCCCAAGGCCCAAACCCGCCTCCCAGGTGCGAGATCGCAGAAACCAGGGCTTCGTCATTTCTGGCGAGAGCGGCGCCGGAAAGACGGAGACGGCCAAGATCGCCCTTTGGCAAGAGGAGCCCTAGGAGAACAGCCGGGGAGGGCCGAAGCGTCCTTCTGGAGGATAGGCCCCGTCGGAAGAATTTCCTGCAAAAGGTGATAGGCTCGCTATACTCTGAGTTCGAGGACTCTTTAAGCTCGGATGTCAAGTTAAACGCTTCCTCAAAGAACCTATCTCCCTCCCTCCCCTCCTAGAATCTTTATCCCGAACTCTGCCTCTGAGCCTTGAAAGTGCTGCCCAAAAGTTTCCAGCAAAGGTGATGGAGTACTTGGGCTATGTTTCTGGATCTTCCAACGAGATGACGGCGCCTGGGATGCATCCAAAGCCGTAGAGATCGAACTGCCGCCGTGCTCGAAGCTCCTTTTGACATGTTTTGCTTCTGCTCTGAGCTCTGAGTGCCCGAATCTAAACGGTAGGCACTAGACCCCAACGCTAAACCCTAAACCCTAAACCCTAAACCCTAAACTCTAAACCCTAAACCCTAAACCCTAAACCCTAAACCCTAAACCCCAAGCCCTAAACCCTAAGCCCTGAGCTTCGGCACATGTCAGGCGCAAATCCAGCGAAGAGTGCTGCAAGCACAGCCCATTCTGGAGTCCTTCGGGAACGCCGTTACCATGAGGAAGCTTCTAGGGTTTAGGGTTTAGAGCTTAGGGTTTTGGGTTTCGAGCTTAGGGTTTAGGATTTAGGGCTTAGGGTTTAGGGTTTAGGGCTTGGGGTTTAGGGCTTGGGGCTGTTTATGCCTGCACACGAGCACGGGTTTGAAGCCGGGGGCTCTTGGTTAGGGGGTTTCGGAGATTCGACTCTTGGACCAGAGGCCCCTTTCTGGACACTGCATGTAATGCGGGAGCCGAAATGAGTACCATTATTATCCTTGTATAATCCTAGATTGCCCAGGCTTATAAGGGAACCTAACCCCCCAAAACGGGGAATAAGGGTACTACTGGGCATCCAGTGTAGACTACACAGAAGACCCACGCAAATAACACAGATGCCCCTGAAGTTTTGTGGGAAAGGGAGGCAATGGCATGCAGGACCGAGTTTCAGGTTGCGCGAGTCCAAGTGTTGCTTGAGTTCAAGCTTGAGGGTTTCGGGGTTCAGGGTTTAAGGGTAACATACTATTACTATTTGCTTAAGTACCCCCAACACACACCAAATGTTCTTCCTTGTAAGGGCAATATAGGGATTATCATCTTGTGTTTTTGGGGGCTCTGAAGCTAATAGTAGCTGCGGGTGGACCTGAGCTCAGTGAAGGCTTGCTGCCCAGCGAGAAGTCCAGATTCATGTCTACCTTCAGGCCTCAAGAAATCCACAACAACCGTCGAGCAAGCAAAATCAGAAACGCCCTAAACCCTAAACCCTACACCCTGAACCCTTTCTGGTGGTCGAAGTCCATGTGACGCCCACTCGAGATTTGCACAGTGCCTTGGGAGGAACAACAACTCCTCCCGCTTTGGAAAGTACAACCGCATCTTCTTCGACGAGTCCGGCGCGCTCGTCAGTGCTTCCGCCGCCCGACCAATCAGGCTCCCTCTCGAGGTCTCCTGTGGAAACTCTTGAAGCCCTAAGCACTAAACCCTAAACCCTCCTACTGTCATGATGCTTTTGGCAGTTGGGGTTCCCAGACCATGATGGTGACTTTAGTCTTGTTCCCACGTCATCGAGGATCATGATTTTTCATGGTTTGGGGTTTAGGGGTTCAGGGTTTAGGGTTTAGGGATACATGTATATACAGGTATACTATATAGTTTGTATTGTACTATTCTTTGCTAACGTTGATATCAGTATGCGTAGGGGGCGATTTTGGCACAAAAAGCCGCAGTGCACGGGAAATGCTGGTGTTGAAGCCTTGGAGAACCAAAGCGATTGAGGTGACCACCTACCTGCTGGAGAGCTCGAGGGTTGTCTCGCACGGCAAGCACGAGCGCACCTATCACTGCTTCTACGACGCAGAGCCGCAACGGGTTCTGGGAGGGCTGCAACCTCAAGAGCTCTGCTTCCTGACTTTCTTGAGGCGTACCGAGGCCCTACAACACCCCAGAGCCTTCTATTGTGGGTCTTTGTGGGAACAACACCCCATAGCCTTATGTGGCGAGCTCCCCAAAACTATGCTTCCTTTCTGGGAACCCGCAGAATCATGAAACGCCGAGTACGATGTTGATGGCGACGGCGATGTCGATGTTGATTGCGACGACGAATGCGACGACGATTACGGCGACGACTACTCATGCCTGGCCCGTGCTTGTTTCTCCCACTTTTTGGTTCACCTCCCTCAAACAGCAAGTACCAGACCCCAAGGCAGGTGGTAGATGCCTTCGGCCAGCAGACCGTTTTCCCCACACCACACTGATTGAAGATAGGCAGCCTAAAAGACAGCTAGCCGGGAGAAGCGGGGCGACCTAACATTCGACCGATGCCAAGGAGATGCTTAGTGGGCTGGCCGATGAGGAGCTGACAAAGCTGCAGCTGGATCGGAACGAGCCCTACCTCCTCCTGCATGGAGAGGAGGCAGGGAGGGCTGTTCTCAGAATCTTGAAATATATTCACAAAATCCGACCCGTGCGTTGCCCTGAGCTGCCCATCAATAGAGAATACAAATTTATCTGATGTCACAGCACAAATGCCTTCATGATGTTTGAGATAGTTTCCGTTTCGTTGACGGGAGTTTAGGCTTCCTGGGGCAGCAGGGCGAGTAGCAAACAGGATGCTGAGCGAAGGGTTTCTCTTTTGGTGTGGTGGTGGTGTGGTGGTGGCTCCGGGCATCCATTCGTGTGCTCGCTGTTGCCTTCCCCTGCTCCTCCCGGCGCCGCCTCATGTCCAAGATCTAGGCAAAATCCTCACCCCCCCCCCAAACCACTCACATTACGCATACCGTCAGAGAAAGCCGCCAACATGACTAGAACTTCAGAACGCCGCAGGTCGAAGATGAAGATGATGACTGGCATGCTCAGTTTGAGGTGGGGGAGACTCAGGGTAGAAGGGCTCCTAAATCTTAAGCCCCAAGACTGGAAGCCCAATTCTCAGAACCTGACCAGAACCGCCAAAGCCCCAAGCCTGAAATTCGCCCAAGCCACCAACGTTCTCAGCGAGAACCCTTCGAGCCCCAGAGACCTCCAAATGTTAATGTTTGCCTCACCTCTTATCTCTGAGAGGCAGGCCTAGAACATGCTCTAGCAGAATCTTTTAACTTGATGCCGAAAGGTTTTCCTGAATTTGGCTAAACCCTCAATTCTAAACCCTACACCCTCTCTAAACCTCTAAACCCTAAACCCTAAACCCTAAACCCTAAACCCTAAACCCTAAACCCTAAACCCTAAACCCCGAAACCCTAAACCCTAACCCTAAACCCTAAACCCACACCCTTGGTATCCGTCCGTTGTTCTGGGGCTCGGGGATCCATGGTGTAGCTAGCGAAGAGAAGGTACAACCTTGGGATGTTCCCCCCTTATTGTACTAACAGTCCTTAATAGGGATTCTAATCGGGGTACTATAATCCCTGGTAAGGACCCAAGGTGCAACCTTGGTGTTGTTGTTATGATCTGCCTAGGTCTTACGTCTTCCGCTGGAGCATCCCCCCCCCTTCCCCGAAACCCTAAACCTAAACCCTAAACCCTAAACCCCTCATGCAGCCCCACGGAAGGACCGCGACCAGAAGCACTTCGACCGGCTTTGGTTCGCATTGGCCGAGGTCGGCTTCAGTGAGCAGGACATCAATGCCATCTTCCAGGCGTCAGGGTAGCCCTAACCCTAAGATAAACCCGACGCCCCAAACAACCCCCCAAAAACCAAACCAAACGCTAGCCCCGAAGAAAACCGCAAAGTCCGCCAAATACCCAAACGCTAACTCCCAAGCCCCTGAGCAACTAAACCCCTAAACCCAGAACCCGAAACACTAGAATATAACCCCCCCAAACACCTCAAAACCCCAAAGCCCCCCCCCCAGCCCCCACAACCCTAAACCCTAAGCCCCAAACCCTAAACCCTCACCCCCTAAATCCCAAACCCTAAACCCCAAATACCAAAGAAGCCCCAAAAGGTGCTGGCCGGCCTGGTCCACCTCGGGGACCTCTCGGACGCGGAGCGGGACGAAGGAGACATCAGGGCAGCTGGTTTAAGGGTTTCGGGTTCAGGGTTTCTGGTTTAGGGTTAGGGTTCAGGTTTAGGGATGGGGTTTGGGGTTTAGGGTCTAGGCTTCTTTAACCAGGAGTTTGAACTCTAGCACCACTTCTTTTGCCTGGGGGAGGCGGGGGTGTAGCATACGGGATCCTATGCCCACAGCCTGGCGCAGAAGACGTGACGTCCGTTGTGGAGCTCGACGATGAGATTCTGGAGAAGGCAGCGAGCGGGCAAAGCACCGCAGCGGATCTTTAGGGAACATTGCTACTAGGGCCCAGAGTGGGCCCGTATTGCTTTTTTTGGGGGTTTCAGGTTCCCTGAAAAGCCCTTTTAAATTAAAAAGGGCGGCCGATGTATTCCTAAGTTACTCTTGGGTCTAGGCTAGTACCCGTACCAAGACTCATAATACTGCTGGTTCTCATCCGTTAAAGTACGATTGCCATTGCTAATGCCACCCTAAACTCTAAACCCTAAACCCTAGACCCTAAACCCTAAACCCTCAACCCTCAACCCTCAACCCTAAACCCTAAACCCTAAGCCCTAAACCCTAAACCCTCCAATACTGACAATGATGGCGAGGCGTCCCGTCTACTCGGCTTGGATGACGAGGAGCTGGGCATGGCGTTGCAGCGTCGGAAGGACGGCAGGGAAAGGGGGGTTTAGGGTTTAGGGGTTAGGGTTCAGGGTTGAGGGTTTAGGGTTTAGGGTTGGGGTTTATGGGTTAGGGTTTAGGGTTTAGGGTTTAGGGTTTAGGGTTTAGGGTTTAGGGTTTAGGGTTTAGTTACTTAGAAGCTCAGGTTGGCTCGAAGGGACCCCAAACCCTAAAAACCCTTGGAAAGTGCTCAGTCCTTCTTTCGCCCTCAGGTGCGGGTGAAGCATCCGGGCCGGGAATCTATCACGGAGGTGGGCAGTTGAACCCTGATCCCTTAATTGTGGCTCACTGGGAAGGTCATTGAGGCGGGGCAAACTGCGACTAAGCACCCCAAGTCTAAGTAAGGTTAGGTAAACAAGCACCCCTTCCTATACCCCTACAGAAAGAAAGCCCGAACCCCTTCTTCAGACTACCCAAATAGATCCTGGACAAGGGCTCAGAGCGCAGGACTTCGGATGATCGTTTCTTCGGGCCTTTGGAGTTTCCAAGACATCTTTGGCACAGGGCCTCAGGGCATAGGCTAGGCAATTTGTTGGTTCTCCAAAACTCTAGAACCCCCGCCCCCGCTACCCTCCCAAACCCTGAACCCTAAGCCCCAAGCCCTAAACCCTAAACCCTGTACCCTACCCTCAACCCTAAACCCTAAACCCTTAACCCTAAACCCCAAAACCCTAAACCTGCATGCCAGCAGGTCCCCCGGACCACCTCGCAGTTTCGGCACGCCCTCCACAGCCTCATCAAAGCGCCCCTCGGGCTCTTGGAGTGCTGGTCTGGGTTTAGGGTTTAGGGTTTGGGGTTTGGGGTTTAGGGTTTGGGGTTTAAGGTTTAGGGTTTAGGGTTTAGGGTGACAGTCTGGGGGAGAATTCTTAAACTGGACAGTTCCCTAAATGAGGCTCCCGTTTTGAGCGTGCTGTAGTATATAGGGGACCCAACAAAGGAAGTGCGCATTTCCCTTCCTGATCTGATCTTATCAAGGGACCTGTTCAGAAATCATTTTTTGGTGACCTTTACAACTGCCGCCTAGTGTTTCTTCCCGGGTTGGGGAGAGGGGGGTTTCTGTTGAGGCGAGTGTCGAGACTCCTTTTCTGGGTTCGGGGTTTAGGGTTTGCTTTTGCGAACTCTAAAACCCTCTGACTTTATTCGCTTAATTCTCCCCGTGGTGGGGCGGGCGAGGTGTGGTGAAGATGTGCACGCCCGGATGGAAGCCCACGCTTTGGCAACCTGAGCAGGCCCGTCGGAGCCTTCCGTGAGGAGGACCAAGCGCGGCCCTGTCGAGAGGGCAAGGGCCTGCTCGATGGCGCCGCGCTCGGTCTCCTTTCCGCACAGAGGCGCCGAAGACCAAGGGCAGGATTGAGGAGATGCTGAAGCGAGTCCTCCGGGCACGGCAAGATGGCCAGTAAACAGCCCTAAGCTCTATCGCCCTTTAGAAACCCAAATCCCTCTGAACCCTAAAGTCCCATAATCGCCCTACGACCCCCAAGGCCCGATAGCCCTGTTTCCCTGTCATCCTATGACCCTTACGATCCTCGTAGCCCTACAACCCTACAACCCCTGTAAAGCCCTAAGCCCTAAGCCCTAAACCATCCAAAACCCAAAACCCAAAACCCAAAACCCAAAACCCAAAACCCTAAACCCAAAACCCTAAACCCTAAACCCTAAACCCTAAACCCTAAACCCTAAACCCTAAACCCTAAACCCTAAACCCTAAACCCTAACCCTAAACCCTAAACCCTAACACTCCATCCCGCCCCCAAAGGCTGTACAAGCGGCTCTTCGAGCGGCTGGTGCAGCGCATCAACAGCTGCCGAGCTGGGTTTGGGGTTGTAGGGTTGAGGAGTTTAGGGTTGAGGGTTAAGGGTTTAGGGTTTAGGGTTTAAGGTTTAGGGTTTAGGGTGGTTGCGGGTTTAGGGTTTGAAGCTTGGGGTTCAAGATTGAGGCTTCATGAAGAAGGGGTTTCAGGCGTAGTGCAGAAAAGGGATCAAGGTCCTTCTGGGTCCCAGTCTGAACACGCAGCGTCGTTTTCAAGCACTAAACGTAAGACACTGCACCACGAAGGCTTCAGAGTCGAACCCCGAATCCCTCCCCCCCCCCCCCCCCCTCGCCAGACTCTAAACCTCTAACCCGAGACGCTTTACCCCAAACCCTAAGCCCTAAACTATTAGATGCTCAGGACTGTGAGGCTGCAGATTTTGTGACAAGAAGACTCTTCGCTCTGATGAGGTTCCTTTCGTGAGCTATGCCCGCGTGAACGTTGTGAGGACTGCGACAAGTCAAGTGAGTTTAGGGTTTAGTGTTTTGGGTCTAGGGCGTCCCACCACCTATCCAAAATGCACATGTGGAAGTTTCTCGCAGAACCCCCTACTGCATCATGCACGGGTGGCGCCCGCGCCAGGAAGAGCCCTGGTGTGAGATTGGCATCCTGGACATCTACGGATTCGAGCGCCTGGAGCGTAACTTGGGCCTTTCGGATGTCAGGTTCTGTGCGTCTTTGGGGTTTGGGATTTGGAAGAGTAGGTAGGGGCTTACAGGATTTTATGGGGGTTTAAGGGGGTTATAGCGCGGTACAGGGCTTAGGGTTCATAAGGGTGTAGGGTTAGGCTTGGATTGATCTTCAGCATGGAAGCAGCCGCTGCGCTGGGTCCGCCCTCCGCCGTGGTCCGTGTTTTCTGCTGAGACCCTGAAAAGCGACCTCCGGTATACACGGACTTTAGGGTCTAGGGTTTGCAGAGTCCGGACGCCGTCCCTCCTGGCATTTCTTGTAGGCAATTCCTTTGAGCAGCTCTGCATCAACCTGGCAAACGAGCGGCTCCAACAATATTTTGTGGAGACCCTTGGCGGGGCGCTTCTGTGGATGGTTGTTGCCAGTCTTGGGATGATGTGGTTTTCGGGAGTTGTTCTAGATTGGCGTCCATTTCGGCGACCCCTGCACATGAGATCCCATGTTCGAAGGTACCCTTTCAGAACAATGTTACATGCTGGCTGGAAGAAGCCTCCTCCCTACGGAAGGTCCAGCGACAAGTGTGCTCTTCCCTGTGTCTCTGTGTGTGTGTGTGTGTGTATGGCATGGGGGGAATAGGCGCTGCAAAGAAAAAGCCCAAAAGATGCCAGCTACTACTTCGGAATGAGGTCTTCGGTGCCCGCGACATCATCCGATCTCCCAAGCCCTGGCCCCCAAAACGGAATGCCTGAGCACCACTTAGTATAACTAGGGAGTAAAGATCGGGCCGGAATCCTTAAACCCCAAACCCTAAACTCAAAACCCTGACCAACTGAGGAACGTCCTGGTGGCAGAGCAGGCCCTCTACCGTCGGGAGGGCCTCTCATGGCAAGGCGCGGCTGCGAAGCTTCCTGCCTTGTTTTATTGTACGATTGGGAGTTGCGTGTGCCCTAACTCCGGCTCTTAGCTGCAGATCCCCCAACCTATAGCCCCGGCTTACGCAAGGGCGTGGAGGTCATTCCGCCTTCAGCTCTGTCTTTTTTGGGGGGATTTTCTTCAGACTGGGAGCCCCAAAGCCCAAATCTCACCATTCCCCTTTGTCCACACCCTTCTCGCTCTTCTTCACCCCTTTTCACCTCTTGCTCGCCTTTTTTGTGTTCTCACTTGCTTTGTTTCCTCTGCCAGTTTCTGGTGGCTTCATGGCCTGATGGCTTCCTAAACTCTCAAATTATACGGCCTACCCGGTGAACCCTCCTCCCTTAAGAACCCTATGAACAAATCCCTAACATCCAAGTCTGAAATCCTCAGCTTCTACCAGGCCTTGCGGTACCGGATGCGACGCCCGCGGGTGTCCCAGAAATATGTGTGTTCAGAAGTGTGAGATGCTATAGTATATATTTGAAGGTAAAGGCGTGTCAGATTCCAAGGCGAGAGCGCTACGTTAATTTCGTCCCAAATGCGAGCAGGCCTCGAGAAAAGCCATGGTCCGCAGCGGGCGCACCGACCGCGGGAGCGCGCGGTCGCGCGCTCCTACATCGAGCTATCGTTCGGACTTCCTACTGATGACAGGGTATGAATCCCAAAAACCTCCAATGTGTCCGGACGTCTGCTGTTTTCTCTTGTGCTCCCCACTCCCAAGCCCTAAACCCAAAACCCGGCGCACTGCCAATGCTCCCCTTTCCCTGCAAGTGGAGACCCTGGCTGCTCCCAACCCGAACAATTCTCAGAGCCTTGCAAGTTTAGGGCTACATGATATGCAGTTTAGTAGCGTAGTATAACGTAACATCTTATAATTACTGCAGTATTATCTAGTATTACCGAATGCAAATCCCAAACTGCCCGAAGGATCCCAAACGATGCCCCAAGGTCGTCTCCGCTATCCTCCAGACCTTCCGGACACTTGATGAGTACAGCCAGCAGCTCGCAATGGGTGCCGAGTCTCAACACTGCCAGGGGGGTACAGGGTTTGGGGTTGTTGCCTACCAGATGACCTTCTGACCCGGGGCCTTCGTGTCCATCGCGAGAACCTTCAAAGCTTCTTTTTCCAGCTCTGTCGCCATATCGGGTTTGGGTTGCCTCATCTTGCATCAGTTCACGTTAATGGTTCCGGGCTTTGAAGCAATCCCGAACTCCTACATCCGCTGAAGCTTCTCGGGGCAGGCTTCGAGCGCATGTCAGATGAGGGCTTCTGCCAGAAAACCGTGGAGGACGCTTCGAAGGACTGACATGTCGAGTTTGCTTCTTGCAGCAACCTTCTTGTACCTGAGCTCAATGATGGCTCACCACGCCACATGATCTCCTGGTCTACTAGCCCGCAAGGAGCTCGTGTTGTGGCCATGAATGGTGTGGCAGCAACAAGCTGAGCAAGGGGCCACCCCCTGCATAAGCCCCCATTGAACGGCTCTCCCCCCTGCCCCCTCCCCTTAGGGCGACAAGAAAGGCCCCCCAGAAAGTCCACGAAGCACCGATGCTTAGGTAGGGAGCAAAGTTCCCAATATCATCCCTTAAAGCGTTGTGTATAGAAGGTGTACAAGGGCACGCCCAACTCTAACAACTCCCCTCGTTGCGAGGACCTCCGTCGGCGGGATG